TGCGGCTCTTGTGTCGTTTGCTGATGGACGGGAGGGGGGAGGTATTTTTTTTGGTGTCGCCACGGAATGGAACTGTTCCGGTTTGTGGTTGATGGAAGAGGGATGATGTAGTAGGGAGGAGGGAGGAGGAAGGAGGGGGAGTGTATGATGATGTCTCATTCTGGTGATGGTATTGTGTTTGTGATGGGTGGTCGTGGTTGTGAAGGCAGAGGCAGAAAAAGTAGCTGCGCTCGCCTGCCGTCGCAAAAAAAACTCTGTAAACCCCCCAGACTAACCAGTTCCTCCTCCCGCTTCTTCACATACACCCACCGCCATCCATCACATCTCCCACCGCTCCCATCCCACATCCTGCCTCCAGCCCATCACCTCCACCCAAGCCCCCCCCCTTCCCCCCCATCACGTCCTCCTCCAACACTCCATACTCCATCAGCCCCCTCATCCATTCCCATGGCCACACACATACACACACACACACACACACACACACACACACACACACACACACACACACACACACACACACACACACGCACAGGTACACGATCCCTCCATCTCTCCTCTCTCCCCCTCTCGCATCCATACACAAACACCCCATTTCCCCGCAGAAAAAAAAAAGACTCCCTCCGCCGCATTTCAAAAATGGTCAACAAAGTGGTGCCAGTCGAGCAAGCAACCATCCCCACATCCTCAGGCACGCAGCACGAGATTACGACGGGAGGTGGTATAGGGAACAAGGGAGATACACTTGACCATGCCACTCACCGCTGCGCGTAGCGATGCCGAAGTGCGAGGGACGCTACATGATATGTTTGTAGCCCAAGCAGAGGCTACACCCGAGCGTATGGCTCTTGTGGATGGCTTGGGGAGTCTGACCTATGGTGAGCTTGCCACTCGTGCTGAGTACCTGGCCAGTCATCTTGCTGCTCTTGGCGTGGCTCGCGACACGGCAGTTGGCCTCTATCTTCGCAAATCTTCGGCTTATATGGTTGCTCTCATGGCTGCTCTCATGGCTGGCGGTGCCTTCTTTGTCATCGAAGTCGCATCACCTCGTCCGCTGCTCAAGCACATGCTCGCTACCGTCGCTCCTCCGGTCGTCATCACTGATGCAGAGCTCGAGCCGACGCTCATTGAGGCCCTCGATGGCGCAGAGTGCTCTCCGGTCGTCATCGAGTATGAGGCGCATGGTCCGTCAGTCGACAAGTGGATGGCTCGCCTGAGCGAGCTGGTCGCTGCTCAGGGCCTCACCCCGCTGCCGGCGGACAAGCGTGTGCCGGTCGATCGCGATGCCCTTGCCTTTGTCTCGGCCTCGTCCGGAACGACAGGCATGCCCAAGGCCATCCTCAACCCGCATCATGCGCCAGTCACCTCGTACATTTGGCGGTGGTCACTGGCGGGAGGTGACTACACCCCGCTCCCCGGCCGCAACGGCTACGTCGTCGCCGCCAACGTGTTCTACATCTGGGAGTCGATCCGTCCGCTTCTCCGCGGTGGCACGCTGCTCTCCATCCCCAACAGCATCATCTACGACTTTCCGGCGCTGGTGAGCTACCTGGAGGAGCACGATGTGTCCGAGATGCTCTTCACGCCCTCGCTCATTGAGTCGCTCCTCGCCTCGTACGACATGGACGCGCTCCGCGCCCTCTTTGCCGGCTTTGCCATCGTCTGGCTCAACGGCGAGGTGGTAACCCGCAAGCTGCTGGCGACGCTCGAGTCGGTTCTTCCGGACTCGTGCGCTCTGTACAACCTGTACTCGATCTCCGAGTGCCACGAAGTGGCGGCGCTCAATCTGCGCAAGCCCGAGCTGCTCGCCGACTCGCCGGCTGTGGCGCCGGTCGGCTTCCCAGCCGACACTGCCCACTGCCACATCCTCGACTCGGAGACCCTGGCGCCGGTCGCGCCGGGTGAGGCCGGCGAGCTCTTTGTCTCGGGCCCGGTCCTCGCCCGCGGCTACTCGTCGCCGGCGCTCACCGCCGAGCGCTTCCCGCCGAACCCGTTTGCGCTCGCTGATGCCGGCGGTGAGTTTGTGGGCAACACCCACGACGATGTCCGCTGCGACTACACCGACCGCATGTACAAGACCGGCGACCGGGTGAGGCTCCTGCCCAACGGGTGCCTCGAGGTCCTCGGCCGCTGCAACTTTTTCGTCAAGATCCGCGGGTATTCGGTCACGCTCTCGGCCATCGAGTCGGCGCTGCTGGAGAGCCTTGCCCTTGCGTCGGCCGTCGTCGTAGCCGACGGCGCCGAGGGTGAGGACAAGCGGCTGGCGGCGTACCTGGTGGTGACCGACGAGTCGGTAGCACCGCCTGGCAAGCACTTGCCGACGGCGGCAGACATCGACTCGACGACCGGTGCCGCGCCCGCGCTGCGCGCCGCTCTCGCCGACGTCCTGCCGGACTACATGATTCCGTCGGTCTGGCTCCTCCTCGACGACCTGCCCATCAACAGCGTATCCGGCAAGCTCGACCGCAAGGCCTTGCCGGAGCTCCCGTCGCGGGCACAGGTCCCGCCGCTTCCGCCGATTGTGCCCCAGGGTGCGGCGTCGCTGGGCATGGCCGAGACCGAGGCTGTTCTCTGCGCCATCTGGGACCACGTGCTCTCGCTGCCGGCCGGAACGGTGACGGCAAACGACTCGTTCTTTGACCTTGGCGGGCACTCGCTGGCGGCGGCTCAACTGCTGTACCAGTACGAACGCATCCTCGGCGGCAAGCTCGCCATGACCGCACTGTATGCCGAGCCGGGCCTTGCCGCCCACGCCGCGGCGCTGTCGGGCAAGGCCGGGCCGATCGGCATTGCCGACGCGCAGCCGTGGGTCGACGACGCCAAGCTGTTCAACAGCAACCCGCTTGATGTTGTCAAGACCCCGCAGTGGACTGGCATCAGCTCGGCGCGCGGCATCCTGCTCACCGGAGCAACAGGCTTCCTCGGTTCGTCAATCCTCGCGCAGCTCATCCACGACAAGACCGATGCCGAGGTCATCTTTGTGGTTGTCCGCCCGCGGTCCGAGTCGCCGGGCGATACGCGGACGGCGATGATGGGCGCGTTTGACACGTATGCGCTCGACGTGCGGGCGCTCGACCGTGCACTCAACACCGGACGGGTGGTGGTGGTCGAGGGCGACCTGAGCTCGGAGGAGCCGCGGGCGGGCAAGGGCCTGCTGCGGCCCGAAGTTCTGGAGAGCGTTGTGCCGCGCGTTGATGTCATCATCCACTGCGCGGCGTGGGTCAACCTCGTCCTGCCGTACGATCTCCTTCGCGGTGCCAACGTGTTGGGCACGCTAGCGGTGGCGACGCTGGCCAGCGCCGCCGGCGCGACGCTGCACTACATCTCGACCAACGGCATCTTCCCGCCGGCGGCGAGTGGGGCGCTGGCCGAGACGCGGGAGATCGGCGGGCTGGAGGCCACGCTGGTGTCGACCTCGGGCTACGGGCAGACCAAGTGGGCGGCGGAGCAGCTTGTGTGGGCGGCGGCCGACGCGGGCGTTCCGGTCTCTGTCTACCGGCCCGGCAACCTCGGCGGGTCGTCGGTGAGCGGGTGCGTGAACCCGGCCGACTCGCAGGTCCTCATCTGGCTCGGCATTCTGCACACGGCGTGTGCGCCGCTGCTCGACGAGTGGGAGGTCGAGCTGACGCCGGTCGACTACGCGGCGCGGCTTGTCATCGGACTCGGCTCGGAGCCGAGCTCTGCGGGTGCGGCGTTCAACGTGGTCCATCCGTCGCCGGTCTCGGGCACCGAGTGGAACGCGTGGCTCTCTGCGGCTGCGGGCGTTGCTCTCGAGTACGTGTCGTACGGCGAGTGGCGGGCGCGTGTGCTTGCGGCGGCGGCAGGTGCCGGCCCGTCGTCGATGCTCTCGCAAGTCGCGGCGTGGGTGGCCTCGCTCCAGTCTGCGGCGGAGCTTGTGGATGTGCCGCGGCTGGCGACGGGTGCGACGGCGTCGCACGAGGCGGCGCATCTGGCGGACGCGGGGCGGCGGCGCGGACTCGGGCGTGCGCTGGTGGCCAAGTACGTGGCCAACATGGCCGCGCGAGGGTGGCTGCCGGTCGGCGCCGGCTCTGCGCCGCTTGCCGGCAAGGTGGCGCTTGTCACGGGCGCGTCGTCCGGAATCGGGCGGGCGACGGCGCAGGCGTTGGCGGCGGCGGGCGCGGCAGTCATGTTTGCGGCGCGGTCGGAGGAGAAGCTGGCGGCGGCAGTGGCAGAGGCGCGCGGACGCGTGGCGTGTGTCGGCATGGACGTGACGTCGCAGGCGTCGGTGGAGGCTGGAGTGGCGGCGACAGTCGCGGCCTTTGGCCCGGTCGACATCCTTGTCAACTGCGCCGGCGTGATGTACTTCACGCACATGGCGTCTGTCTGCATCGACGATTGGATGCGGACGATTGACGTCAACTGCAAGGGCACGACGCTGACCATCGGCACGGTCCTGCCGTCGATGCTCGAGCGCGGCTCCGGCCACGTCGTCAACATCTCGTCCGACGCCGGGCGCAAGGTCTTCCCGGGCCTCTCGGTCTACTCGGCATCCAAGTTCTATGTGGAGGCGCTCTCCCAGGGCCTCCGGGTCGAGACCGCCAACACCGGCATCCGTGTCACCTCCATCCAGCCGGGCAACGTGGCCACGCCGCTGCTCGGCCTCTCCACCGACGCCTCAGCCGTCGAGCAGTACGGTGCGCCGTCGGGCGCGAAGGTCCTCGAGCCCGAGGACGTCGCCCGTTCCATCGTGTACGCCGTGACGCAGCCCGAGTGGGTCGGCGTCAACGAAGTCCTCATCGAGCCGCGCGAGGAGCCTGCGTAGTTGGCCGAGGAAGCGAGATGGTAAAGACAAGAGGGCTGAATAGTTGGCCGGGTGAGTTAGGAGGTAGTGCAAGTGGAGCCAGCCAGCCATCTTCCGATCGGCTGTGGGCCCATCACCACCCGCCCACTTCCCATCTCCCACCCGCCCATCACCCACCCACTTCCCATCTCCCATCTCCCATCACCACCCGCCCACTTCCCATCTCCCACCCGCCCATCACCCACCCACTTCCCACCGCCCATCTCCCATCACCACCCGCCCATCACCACCCACCCACTTCCCATCTCCCATCTCCCATCTCCCATCTCCCATCACCACCCACCCACTTCCCATCTCCCATCTCCCATCTCCCATCTCCCATCACCAGCCCGCCCATCACCAGCCCGCCCATCACCACCCGCCCATCACCACCCGCCCATCACCAGCCCGCCCATCACCAGCCCGCCCATCACCAGCCCGCCGCCCACCGCCCGCCCTCCACCGGCCATCGCCCAGCACTCGACTTCATTCATTGATTAATTATGGACATTCTCGAGCAGAAGATTAAGGTCCAAGGCGACATTGTGCGGAAGCTGAAGGCCGCCAAGGCTGGTGCAACGACCGACGAGGAGCGTGCATCTCTGTCCACACAGATCAAGGACGAGGTTGCCAAGCTTCTTTCCCTCAAGGCCGAGAAGGAGGCTTCGTCCTCAGCGCCTTCTACTGCTGTACGTGTTCCCCTGTTCCCCCGTCCTCTCCCTCGCCCAGCCTGCCGTTGCCACGATCCATTCGAACCTTCGCCCTACGTGCCCACGATTAACTCTCCTTACATTTATCGTTACTCAATTAACTCTCCTCATATATATCGTTACCCAATTAATTCTCCTTGCATTTATCGTTGCTCAATTAACTCTCCTTGCACTCATGCATCCATCCATCCACTCTCACTCACCCTCACACCCCCGCCCCCAACCACCACCACCAACACACACATCACACACAGGACGAGACCGAGGCTGAGGCAGACAAGGCAGACGCAGGGGCAGGGGCCAGCGGACAGGTGGTGACGCCGTGGGAGGTGGAAGGCGGCGAGGATGGGATCGACTACGACCGGCTGCTGCGCGACTTTGGCACGCAGGAGATCACGCCCGAGCTCATCGCCAGGGTGGAGGAGCTGACGGGCAAGCCGGCGCATCCGTGGCTCCGGAGAGGGCTCTTCTTCTCGCATCGCGATCTGAAGGAGCTGCTTGATGCGTACGAGGCAGGCACGCCGTTCTATGTCTACACCGGGCGCGGCCCGTCGTCTGACTCGATGCACGTCGGCCACCTCATCCCCTTCCTCTTCACAAAGTACCTGCAGGACGCCTTCGACGTCCCTCTGGTCATCCAGATGACCGACGACGAGAAGTTCCTGTGGAAGAACATGTCGCTCGATGACGCTGCCATCTTCCTCCGTGAGAACGTCAAGGACATCATCGCCGTCGGCTTTGACCCGGCCAAGACCTTTATCTTTGCCGACACCGACTACATCCAGCACCTCTACCCGAACGTGCTCAAGATCCGCAAGGCTACGACCGGCTCCATGGTCCGCGCCATCTTTGGCTTTACCAACTCGGACAACATCGGCAAGTGGGGCTTCCCGGCCGTCCAGGCCGCGCCCTCGTTCGCCTCTACCTTCCCACACATGTTTGGCAACCGCCGCGACATCCGCTGCCTCATCCCAGCCGCCATCGATCAGGACCCGTACTTCCGCCTCACCCGCGACGTTGCACCCAAGCTCGGCTACCTTAAGCCCTCACTCATCTACACCCGCTTCTTCCCGGGCCTGCAGGGCGCAGGCTCAAAGATGGGCTCGTCCTCGCCCATGTCCGCCATCTTCCTCACCGACTCGAAGAAGCAGATCAAGAAGAAGATTGGCGCATGCGTCTCCGGTGGCGGCGAAACTATCGAGGAGCACCGCGCCAACGGTGCTAACCTCGCCCGCGACATCCCCTTCCAGTACCTCGAGGTCTTCCTCGACGACGACGCCCGTCTCGAAGAGATCCGCGTCGAGTACTCGGCCGGCCGCATGCTCACCGGAGAGGTCAAGAAGGAGCTCATCGCCATCATGGCCGACCTCGTTGCAAACCACCAGGCTGCCCGTGCCAAGGTCACCGACGAGCAGGTCACCGAGTTTATGTCCGTCCGCTCCTTCGACCACCTCGGCCTGGCCGAGTTCCGTGACTACGCCAAGAAGCAGACCGGCAAGCAGAAGAAGAAGAAGAACAAGAAGAAGGCGACGCCGGCCGAGCCGGCCGCTGCCGCTGCACCGACGAGCACAGCGTAAACCATTTACAGAACTGTCTATTTCATTCGTCTGATGTGATGCTCACGTCGTAGATCGACGAATCGTCGTCGTCGTCGTTGGCTCCCTGACCGCCGCCCGCCTTGCCATGACCGTTCTGGCTCACGTAGCCGGCATCGGCAAGATCGCCCCACGATTTTTCTCCTCGCGGAGGCGGTCCTCGACACGGCTTCGGTTGTTCTGCTCCGGGATCTGCTGCAAGCTGTCATCGTGCGAGACGTACGGCGGGTAGCGGCCCGACGACTGCGACCGGCTGCCGTAGTCCGAGTACGAGTACGGCCGCGAGTACGAGTACGTGACCGAGCCCGAACCCGAGCCCGAGCGCTCCGGCATGGGCTCGGTCGGCAAGTTAATCGCCGACGAGTACATGATGCCCTGGACAAAGGTGCCCGACGACCGGTTGAGCTCGCACGACGGCATGGTGCGGAGCCGGGCGATGGACCGCGGCTGTAGATGAGCCTCGCCCGAATCGGACGCCGGCTCGTCATCAGAGTCGAGGTCCTCGCCCGACTCGGCGGACGAGACACGAACAACCGACGGCGTAATCCCACGCCGGGCGTCGGGCGGTGCGAGGTGACCGACGGCACATGCGGCAACGACCCGCGGTCCTCGTCCGAGACCGCAGAGCCCGAGGTGAGGATGTGGTGTGGCCACGGGTGGAAGCCGACGAGCGTGTCGACCTGCTGGTCGATGACGTGCAACAGCTGCTCGGTGTCGCGGGCGGTAAAGGCGCCGGCAAAGCCGAGCTCCTTGATCTTCTCGCGCTTGTACTGCAGCAGAATGCGCGCTGCCATGAGCGTCTGCGCCACGGTCGAGATCTCGATGTGCCGCCTAGTAAAGTCGCGGATCTCGGACCGCGCAACGAGCATGACCTCAGAGAACTCGGCTGCAATGTCCGGCGGAAAGTGCGGCGTGATGTACTCGTGGGCACGGACGTAGCCGTGGAGCGTCTCCAGTCGGTTCCACACAAAGTTGTACAGCATAAAGTGACCAAGGAGCCAGCCCATCGGCAGACGCGCAAGGAGCCGCACCCACTTGGGCACCTTGAGCGTCTTCTTGATGAACTTCCATTCGACGAGCGCCGGGTGGATGAGTGCAAAGTCCGACGACTTGCGCTTGTTGAGCCGGCACTCGGAGGCCCGGTCGACGGCCTCCAGCAGCCGGTGCATGGCCGAGTCGCCGATGATGCCCTCCTCAAACTGGTGTTCGTAGTGCGACCGCGTCGCGTTAAAGTACGTTTGGTACAGCTGCGCTTCGTACTTGGCCCGCTCGTGCATCGACATTGTGTCAGCAGACGTCCCGTGCGTCGTCTCGCGGAACCGGAGCGAGTGAGTCGAAATCGTCGCCGTCGAATGCCGGACCTTGACTCGGTCCTCCTTGAGCTCGCGCGTCGACGCTGTCCGCGCCAGCGCATTAAACGTCACGCCCTGTGCCGACGGGTTCTCGGGCGGCGCAAACCCGGTTCCGTGGACGCCAGTCACTCCCGGCGGCGGCCACTGCTGCCCGCGTGCCGTGTACGAGTACGCATCGTCAGAGTAAGAGTACGATGAGTAGACCGGCAGACCTGCGGCACCCGGGCGCAGCGTCCGCGAGACCTGGAACGGCACTTCGCCGGACGCCTCCTCAAACTGCTCCTCCGCATCGTGCTCTCCACCGTGCCACGCCGGTAGCGTTGCGGCCGCCAGGACCGAGTCGACACCGGGGATGCGCGCCGACGACGCCGACGAGTAGCTCAACAACAGCTCCTGCTGCTCCTCGCCAGCGATCTGGCAGGCATCGTCCATGACCGATGACAGGGCGGCGCCCATGACGTCGGCTGCCGGCCGCGCAACGCCGCCCTCGGCGGTCGGCCCGCTCTCAGCAACTGGCTCGGCTGGCACAGAGCCAGCCGAGCCGTGAAGGCCCTGCGACCGGCCCTGGGTCCGGGCGCGGGCGCGGTGGATGCCGCCGGGTCCCGAGCCGACAGCCCGAGCGTTGGCGGTGGCAATGCCCTGCGCCACGGGCGAGTACGCTCCCGAGCCGGTGCGGGTGAGGCCAGCGTTGTTGTTTCCAGGCCGGGCCGGCGACTCGTTCATGTGTGGCGGGAGGCCCGAGTGCGGAACAGCAGAGTACGGCACAGCGTCGGGCGCGTAGTTGCCCGAGTCTGGCCCGCGGTAGCCTGGCGGGCGGCGCGAGCTTCGGCGATCGTGCGAGCTACTCGAGTCGTAGAACGAGCCCGGGGAACCGCCATCGTCACCCGTGGCGCCGTGCGCATGCGAGGGCAGCGTGGAGAAGACAAAGGCTGGCGTCATCGACTTGTAAATCTTGGAGATCGACGGCGGGTGCATGGAGAAGGCCGGTGAAGTCTTGGACATCTGGATGTTGCGAAAGTCTGGGACAATGGCGCGGACCTTGGGCCAGTCGGCGTCGGCGTAGTACCACTCGTGCTTGAGGTCGGACCACTCACGCTCGGCGTACTCCTCGAGGTACTCGATGGTCTTGCGGAGAATGGCCCGCTGGAAGCGGTCCGGCGGGTAGAGCTGCAGCTTGTTGTAGACAAACGACGTGGTCCATCCGTTGATGAAAAGCGTCATAAAGACAATGCCGGCAACGTGAAAGTTGACAACAAAGCGGACATCTCTGTCAATGTTGAGGTCCGACTCGACGAGGAGGCCGAGAGTGAGCGAGACGGCGCCACGGAGGCCACCATACGTCAGAACTGCGCCCTGCTTAAAGGTAAACCCGTAGCCGAGCTGACGAAGAAGCGGCTCGAGGAGACCGACCATGGTGGCGCGGACAAGGTGAAGGACAAGGTAGAGGAGAAGGAGCCAGAGCCAGTGGCGGTAGTCGGAGGCGAGGTCGCCGTGGTTGATGATTTTGTCGTAGACAATGATGCCGCCCATGACAAAGATGACGGTCTCGGCAATGTGCGCCAGCTGCGTCCACACGGCCTCGTTCATCTCGATGACCGCCGGGGAGAGGGTGTACTTGAACCGGTTCGACATCATAAACCCAAACATGACGGTGGCGAGAACGCCCGAGACGTGGAGAAGGGCTTCGGCAACGTAAAAGGTGCCAAAGACGCCGACGAGAATGACTGGAATCTCGATGAGCGGGTGGTTGTAGATGATCTTGAGCCAGATGAAGACCAGGATCGAGGTGAGGACGCCAAAGAGGACTCCGCCGAGAACAAGCTGCAGAAACTGGCCGACAACCGACCAGAACGTTGGCGTCACGCCGCCAGCCATGTCCTTGAAGAGCAGAAAGAGGACAAAGGCCGAGCCATCGTTGAGCAGCGACTCGCCCTCGATGAGGGTGGAGAGCGTTGCTGGCGCACCCAGCTCCTTGAGAGCAGCGACGACGGCAACAGGATCGGTTGCACAGAGAATAGAGGAGAGGAGGAGGACGTGCGAGAGAGACCATGACGAGTACGAGACAAAGACATAGCGGAAGATGATGGTGGTGAGGACGAGGGCGATGATGACGCCAACCGAGGCGAGAATGATCACCTGCTCTTTGACTCGCCAGAGGACATGAAAGCGGATACCGACAGCAGACTCGTAGAGAAGAGGCGGAAGGAGCATGAAGAGAATGAGATGAGGATCCGTCCGTTCAGCAGCAGCAAAGGCATGAGAGAGAAAGTTATCGAGATGAGCCACGGTACCAAAGGCAAAGCCAAGGAGGAAGAGCATGAGCGTGTAAGGCGGTTTGGCCAGCTCGGGAACCACAGACGACGCGAGGTATGACTTGACCAGAGATCCGATGAGAACACAAAGAATGACAAACAACAACGATGATTCGATACCAGAAGAATGGCTTGCATGCTCCACAGCGGATGCGCTCAAAGTCTCGTTCCCGCCTGACCTCGTCACCAACAGCGACACGCCGTGCTCGGCGAGGGCGGTAAGCGACATGGGGAGGGGGAGGAGAGGGGGGGTGAGTGGGTGAAGGGCGAAGGGTGAGGGGTGAAGGGGTGAAGGGGTGAAGGGGTGAAGGGGGTGAGGTGGTGGCTTCCTTGTGGGCTTCTACGGCGAGGTCGCCGTGGTTGGTGTCGGGTGATGGGCGTGGGTGGCTTTGGGAGAATGGGGAATTCGGCCGGTCATGTCATGCGGACAACAGAGGAAGGGGAGGGGGGGGGGGGGGATCGGGATGGGATAGGATGGGATGTTTGGGGATGTTTTGGGATTAAGGATGGGAAATATTGGGAGGGAGTGGAGGGGTGAAGGGGGGCGGGGGCGGGGGGGGGGGGGGGGAGGTGACAAGAGCTACAGCCACTGGATCCAGGAGCAGACCTGGGCAAACGAGGGACGGAGAGCGACGTCGTGGTCAAGGCAGGCGTACATGGTCTCTTGGAGGACAGGCGAGACGCGGATGGGCATGGGTCCGGGACGAGCCTTGTTGAAGACGATGTCCTTGATCATGTCCATAAGAGTGGCGTAGTCCTGCTCAATAAAGGGCTCGTCGCGGGCGACGACCTCCCACGCCAGGACGCCGTACGAGTAGACGTCAGCCTTGTCAGAGTACGGCTCGCCGCGGACGACTTCAGGAGCGACGTAGACGGGTGTGCCGCATTTTGTCTCGACGTATGTGGCCTCGCGAACCTTGGCAAGGCCAAAGTCAGCGACCTTGGCGCGGCCGTCGGCGGTGAGGAGGACGTTGCCCGGCTTGAGATCGCGGTGGATGATCCTCTTAGAGTGGAGGTAGGCCATGGCGTTGGCGACGTCCTGCAGGATGAGGACGGCGTCGACTGGCTCAAACGTCTCATGGAGCTTGTGCTCCAGGTCGCCCCCGGCGACGAACTCGGTGACGATGCAGATGTTGGGAAAAGCGACGCAGGCGGCGTGGAACTTGACGCACGACGGGTGATCGAGCTGGGCGAGGAGGGCAACCTCGCCGAGGAAGCTTTGGAACTCGTCCTCGTCGTATTCTTCGCCCATCATGCGCTTGACGGCGACGTCCTGCCCGCGGTAGCTCCCGCGCATGACCTGGCCAAATGCGCCAGCGCCAAGGTAGTCGGAGAGCTGCAGCTGCTCAAAGGTGCAGACGGCAAAGCCGTAGTCGGGTGAGGACTCGGCAACTTCGGCGACAAGATCGCCGAGATGGAGCGAGCTGAGTTTGGAGGCAGTGCGGAGCAAGGCCTCTACCTGCTTGCTCTGGGCAGCTGCAGGCGCCTGGCTTGCGCTCGATCCTGAGCGGCCAGCCACCGGCGCCTGAGCGTCGAGCACGTTGGCCACCAGACGGCCGAGCGCCACGCGGTCGTCAGGCGAGAGGTCTGGGAGTACCGAATCAAAGGCGGCCGACTCGAGCAGCGACGTGAGCTCGTCCTCGGTCGTGGCGTGATCTGTAGGTGCAAAGAGGCGGAGGTGAGTGGGTGATCAAGCCGAGTTGGTGTCGATGTCGATGCCGATGTCCATGTCGATGTCTGTTCTCTTGAGGCATGAGGGGGCCTCCCTGCTCCTCCCCCCTGCTCCTCCCCCTCCCCCTCCCCCCCCCCTCCCTCTTCCCTCTTCCTCTCACATCACCCTCGACTTCCCCTTCTCCTCCACATGTCACGATGTCGCGACTGTCACCAAGCGACCTCCGCCCCCCCCCTCCCCCCCGTACCCCCTCCCCCCCGTACCCCCCCCCCCCCCACCCCCACCCCGGTAGCCCGTACCCCTACCTGCCTACCCCCTACCCTGACCCCCTCCACCATGAAGAATACGTACCACTTCTCGCAGCCACAAACTTGAGCAACTCCTCCTTTGCCCTCGTGAGCCTCCGAGGGTTGTGCTTGGCAGCTGCCTCGGCAGCACGACGACGAAGACTGCCGAGTGCAGCAGGGGGAGCAGGGGAAGACGAAGGAGAGGCTCCGCTGGTACCTCCACCACCTCCACCACCACCACCACCACTACTACTACCGCTGGTCACCGCTGATCCAAGTCCCAACCGACCCGATGACGACATGGTCGCAAAGTGCCGAGAGACAAGTACCGCCTCAAACTCAACAGGAGCTGCCACCCAGCCACCCGCTTGGCACTCGGCATCGGTTGCTGCCACAGGATCGGGCGGGGGCTGGCTGGCAATGATGATCGGTCTGGCTGGCTGTGGTTGATGATCGGTCTAGCTGGCTGCGGTTGATGATCGGTCTGGCTGGCTGTGGTTGATGATCGGGCTGGCTGGCTGTGGTTGATGATCGGTCTAGCTGGCTGTGGTTGATGATCGGTCTAGCTGGCTGCGGTTGATGATCGGTCTGGCTGGCTGCGGTTGATGATCGGGCTGGCTGGCTGCGGTTGATGATCGGTCTGGCTGGCTGCGGTTGATGATCGGTCTGGCTGGCTGTGGTTGATGATCGGTCTGGCTGGCTGTAGTTGTTCATCACTCGGTCTAGCTGGCTGGCGATGATGATCGGCCTGGCTGGCTGCGGTTGTGGGGGCTGATGCTGAGCAGTCCGGCATGGACTGTTGAACTAGCTGAGGCTGGCATTCAGGCTGGGCCGGTTGGTCAGGCTGCAGCTGATCGGTCACTGGTCAAGCTGGAGAAGGTCGACGATGCGGGAAAGAAGCTCGTCGATGGTGAGCATGGCGCCCATGGAGGCGTTGATGGCAGCAAGGTCATAGTCGCCGCTAGTATCGGCCTCAGCTTTCGCCTTTGTCGACGCCAGAAGATCCATGCAGAGCGGAAAGAGCTGGCGGAGGGGCGCAAGTGTCGTTGCGTGGAGCGCAGGGAGATCGAGAGCGGCACCGAGCATGCCACGTCGAAGCGCGGCAAAACGGATGAGATTGAGTCCGGCAATGTAGGCTTCGGCCCGCTGGACGAGCGATGCCGGATCTGATGCCGCCAGAAGCGCCACTAGCGCAGGCCGCACTTGGTCTGCCAGCCAGGCCTCGCACTCGGCGCCAGATGGGAAGTGTTCCGCGCGCCGCGAGGCATCCGCGCTCGATGCCTCGGCAACAACATCCTTGAGCCAGGTGACTGCGAGCGCCGTCATCTGCGGGTAGGGGCAGCGGGTGACAAGATGCAAGAGCAGCGTCCGCCGGCGCTGTGCCCCAAGCTGCGTCCACAACGACGATGAGAACCAGGTAAACGTAGCATCGCGGAGCTCCTCATTCTCGGTCAGCACCATGTAATCGATGACGGCCTCGACCAGTGAGCCAAGCTCGGCCACCGGGAACAGTTCAGCCTCCGCTAGCGACCCGGCGCCGGCCATTCGCGCCACCAGCTGCACGCCCTTGAAGCCGACATGCGGGCTTGCGTGCTTAAGGAGGACAATTACTGGAAGAAGGGCCGGTGGCTGGTCGCTCGCATCAAGATACGCGGCGTAGGCGGTGGCGAGGCTCAGAGCGTCGCCGTCATCGCTAGGATCGGTTGCAGTGACCAGTCGCACCTCGTTGGCCAGCGCCACCACATCAGCTGGGAGCACACCGTCGGCCACAAGGCAGCCGGAAGCATCCGCGTCTGGTAGCGCCACCGGATGCTCAAGTCCTATCAGTGGAAGTAGCAAGCGAGCAGCAGGGGCAGAGTGCGGCGCAACAGCAGCGACGGCAGCAGCAGTAGCTCGGCATGCCCGCAGCGGGAGCACCTCGGCATCCGCGCGAGCGAGCATGTCTGCAAGACATTCTGCAAGCGAGACAAGGAGAGGTTCGCGGCGGGCGTGATCGGTAAGACGGGACACAACCGTCGGCAGCAGCTCGAGAACGATGGCCAGCGGCTCAGGTCGGAGTCTTGCCGACGACATCTCCTCCTGGATCATCATCAGCATCTCCCGTGGTGAGATGACGGTGGGGAGGTGGTGCAAGACTGCGGTAAGATCAGGCAGAGCGTCGGGCGAGGTCCCATCAAGTGCATCAAGCAGGGCAGGCACGAAATCCATGGAGCCATCGGCGAGTAGTGCAGCAGCATCGGGCGAGGTGAGCATGACGCGAGCAGCAGCAGCAGCAGGTCCTCCATCAAGCAGCACATTTGCAGTAGCGCGAGCCATCTCGATGTACGACTCAAACTCGTCAGGAGGGTGGGCGAGCGCATGAGCGAGTGCGTCGGCCATGGTGCGCCCTTCCTGCTCAAGTCGAGTGGTGAGTGTTACCTGCTCTTCACTTGGTTGTCTGTCCCGGTCTGCTTACGTCGGCGCCAACCACATCGAGCCAACCCATAACGAACACTCGGTCCAGATCACGTACAATACGACACCATTTGCAATGCCCATGCCCTCCTGCTCCTCCTCTCGTATCCGATCAAGACTACGCTACGCCGCCCCATCTCACCCAGGCCACAGCCGATCGCAGCCACATCGAGCCAACCCATATCCAACACTCGGCCCAGATCACGTACAATACGACACCATTAGCAATGCCCATGCCCTCCTGCTCCTGCTCTCGTATCCGATCTGTGCGAATCGGTTGCTTGCGCCTGTGTCGCCCGGCAGTCGTGCCAACCGCTCCAACCGACAGACACGGGCCAGGACAAGACCACTTCACCCACCGCCACACCCACCTCCCACACACACTACACACCACACATAGAGGCATAGACAATAGCCACAATGGCTAGTGGCGACGAAGCTTCGTTTGAGTCGGACGGAAGCGAGTATGGCGGCGACCTAGTGGTGGCTGGCTCGCAACGTGCCGACGGACGAGCCGCCGCTGTCAGTGGTAGTCCGCTGCGGTTTGACGAGGTCGAGGCTCAGGTGGCTGGTATGCCTGTCGAGGCGCTGCAGACTCGCGTGGCAGAAGTGATGCGGAACAACGAGCGGTTGCTGCTGGAGAACGAGGCGCTCTCGGCCTTTGCTGTTGCCCATCGCGTCGAGGACCGGACAGAGATGACAGCAACGCACGACGATGAGTCGCGCCAGCAGCTGTTCGAGCGCTTGCGTGGGCGGAAGGCTCACGAGGTGGCTATGGTCTCACTCTCGGCCCATCTCAAGTACGAGGTTACCATGCAGGTCCAGATCATGCTCGCCAAGGATCGGTCTGTTGCCTCGGCAGCAAACGAGGCCCGTCTCGCAGAACTCCGCGCCATGCTCGAGGAGGTCGATCGCAGAGTCGCAGACATCAAGATGCAGGAGAAGCAGTTTGAGCGAGACGTGCTCGTCAACGGCCGCAACCCCATCCCTGGTCGCGGCCAGTCTATCATGTCAGAAAAGGTCCAGCGCTACTTTGAGGACGTTCTCCGCGCCCAGGACAACCTTGTCAAGAAGCTCCTGCTCAAGAACTCTACCATGAAGTCGCAGATTCACAAGCTCCGCGTTCAGCTGAAGCAAAAGGAGGAGATGAACGAGGTGCTCGGCCACATCGACTTTGGCCAGCTCAAGATCGAGAACCGCCAATACCTCAACAAGATCGAGGAGCGGAACCAGGAGCTCCTTCGCCTCAAGCAGACCGCCGGCAACACCGTCCTTGTCCTCAACCGCCACAAGAACTCGCTCGCAGAACTCACCACAGAGTCCGACAAGCTCAAGTACGACATCCACATGCGCTCCACCGCCCTCTCAAAGGTCCAGGCCGAGACAGAGACCATCCGCGACGAGATCGCAACGCTCGAGACCGCAAACGCCCGCCTCAAGTCGCAACAGGATGAGTATGTCGTCCCTTCCGTTCTCTCCTACGTCAAGCAGAACGAGTCCGAGGCCGAACTGTCCAAAAAGGTTGCCTCCTGGACCCGCAAGGTCGAGATCGCTGAGATGGCTCTCAAGCGCCAGCGGACTCTGCTCAAGCAGAGCCAGCGTCTGTAGCCCAGTCTCAATCCTCCCCCCCTACTCCCCCTCGCACACACGCACACACGCATACACGTACATTGTCATACCCAATCACATGCTTCCTACCTCCCTATCCATGCCTTCTCTCCCATGCACCGCCTCGTCTCCTTGCCCCTTTCCCACACCACAGCCACAACGTCTGTCCGCTCGAGTCACCGGGCCACAACCGTGAGGATGCGTTGGGGTGAAATTTTTGGCCGACTCTCAATTAACTCCCCTTCAGTTATTCATTAACTCAAACGTCACCACCCGTCTCCCCCAACTCGTACGTCGTCCCCCCCCCCTCTCGGCCCATTCCCCCCTCCCACACCCATTCCTATGATGCTCAAGTAATTTGCGCCTGATGCTAGTGATTACAACTTATGCCAAATGTCTGAGGAATACCCTTGCCTTTTCTCCGCACTTCCAAGTGCGTTGTACCGGTTTACCCAACCCCATACACTTCCACCTCCCTAGCACCTTCTCTCTCTCTCCCTCTCCCTCCCCATACTTTGCCAACCCTTCGCAAACACAATTTACGCTCGCGCGTGAATTTCTCCCGTCCAATCACAAATATATTTTTTCGCCCTTTCCAGCCCGCAGAGGGTTTGAGACGGAGAAAAAATATTGTCGCTTGTATGCGTTGAAATGCATAGCGAGCCTCCCCTTCCCAAAAGGCGGCTCGCTGTGTGGTTGTTGAAAATGGATGGAGAGGAGGAGGAGGAGGTGCTGGGGTGATTGTGTGGTAGGTTGGTGGGGGGGTGTTTGCTTGCGTGCATGCACGCTGGTTTTTGCTGGCCTTTGCCTTTTTTTGGATTCATTGTCATACACTTACTATTCGTCGCCTTGTGTGGCTCTTGGTGATTTACATAACAGCAGGCGGGAGTGGTGGACGACTATTGTGGCGCATGAACGGATGAGCAGCTTGCCTCCCACTCTGGGTCACTCTCCTTCGAATGATGATCTTCGTCTGCCAGCAGCGCTAGCCTCTGCTGGCAACTCGCCGTGCACCTCGGGTGCAGCGTCGCTTGGGTCTGGCGACGGGCTGGGGGCGTCGTCCGAGTCGTCGTCGTCGCGGGACTCGCGGGATGTATCGCCATCGGCTGCGGTGCCTATTGCGACTGCTGGTGGCCCGCCTCGGATCGCTAACTCGTCGTCTTCCCAGTCGCAGTCGACAGCAGCGTCCTACTCTCCGCGCAGCGGACGGTTTCCGGCCATTCGTGGCTGGCGGCGGACAAGCCGACCGCGGGTGCGAACGCACGACGGGCTGAGCTCGGATGCCGGGCCCAACATCGCCCGCCGCGGCTCACTCGATGTACAGCAGATCTTGGCCTCTTCGCGGGTCATGACCACTTTCCGGCGCTCCGAGTCTGAGCCGACAACAACGCCCGATGATAGCGACGACGTGGCAAGTGTGGCACTGCAGCCGCTTGCCAACTCGTCGGACGACGAAGGCCTTTACCCGCCGGTTCGATCGGGCTCGGATCCGTCTTTGGCACGGATCCGCGGCTTTGAGCGTGGGCGTCGGTCGACGCTCGACACGGCTGCATCCCGGCCGGTCCACCTCGCTTCGCGGCCTCGCCGTGCGTCGGTCTCGTCGCTCTCGGTCTCGTCGTTTGTCTGCCGTGAGCTCGACTCATCCGGCGCGCGCATCCGCATTGTCGAGGTCGTCATCAACCACCAGGGCATCTTCACCCATGTGGACGACGGCTCGGGCTCGGGCGCACACCTCGAGTACAAGCACAGGTTTGCCCGTATCCAGCAGTTTGGCGTCGAAGAGACTGGCGACGTCTTCTGGTACCGCTTTGTCCCGCCCTCGAACGCAGCGCCCATTGTGCTCCGTTTCCAAACCGTCCAGGCCCACTCGATCCACAAGGCAGTCAACAGCCGGATCCAGGCCCTGATCATGGAAGTATCTCGCTGATTCGTACGCAGTCGAGTAAATGTATCCATCCACTCCCACCCAACCCAGGCACCGACCGGGTTGTCCGCCAACTGCCAGCCGCCCGTTCGAGCCACGAACGAACGATTGGCGCCACGCGAGGGAGACAGGGAGGGCGAGGAGGGACTGGCCACCAACCACCTCACCACCTCACCACCACCACCACCACCACCACCACCACCACCACCACCACCCCAGTCTCTCTGTCTCTCCCACCACTACTACAGGGGAAACCATGACTGAGGCATACTTCCTGGAGTGTACGTGCAGCTGTTTGCGGGAGGTAGGGGAGGGGGGGGGGGGGGAGGCGGTCACTCTGACAACGGCGACATAGGGGATATTGGGGGACATGGAGGGGATATGGGGGCCATGGAGGGCATATGGGGGCATGGGGGATATGGACGACATGGACGACATGGACGACATGGACGACATGGACGACATGGATGACATGGATGACATGGACGACATGGACGATATGGACGACATGGACGACATGGACGACATGGACGACATGGATGACATGGATGACATGGACGACATGGACGATATGGACGACATGGACGACATGGACGACATGGACGACATGGACGACATGGACGACATGGACGACATGGACGACATGGACGACATGGACGACATGGATGACATGGATGACATGGACGACATGGACGACATGGACGACATGGACGACATGGACGACATGGACGACATGGACGACATGGGGTGGATGAGGTACTCATGATGATTGGTTGCTGTCTCGTTGTTGGGGTCGGCTGGTATGGGATGATGTGGACTCACAACGCTACAGCGGTGGTCGTGGTCGACGACGCCGACGACGACTTTGCTTACGAGGCCGTCGATGTCATCGACTCGGACGACGACGCCCTGCTCCATGACGAGGACCTTGCTGCTGCCACCCGCGCGGCACAGAACGGATATCGTAGCACCGCCCCCTCGGTCCGCCAGTCTCCCACGGATCACGCCACAGCAGATCAAGCCCAGGCTGTCGCCGGCGCCGCCCTCACCCGAAAGCCCGAGGTCATCGACGACTTTATCTGTAACTTCCTCAACCGCATGGGCATGCGCCGTACCCTCGAGGTCTTCCAGACAGAGTGGTACGAGCTCGAGAGCAAGGGCCTCATCGACCGCGCCGCCATTGGTGCCGTCCCGGACGTCTACTCGGCCAACGTCGAGCTCGATCAGGAGCGCAAGGCTCTCACCGCCCAGGTCGCCAAGGAGCAGAAGGAGACCCAGATGACCCGTGCAACCTGGGAGAAGCTCACCCAGGAGCGGAACCACCACCGCATGCACCACCGTCGCGTCGAGCAGGAAAAGCAGCTTCTCATCAAGCAGCTGAAGCAGATGCGGAAGCTCCAGCTCGAGTACGAGCCCACTCTCGAGCAGCTCAAGGCCAAGCACCAGGCTGCGCTTCAAGAAAAGGACCGCAAGGGCCGCATCATCATGCGCCTCAAGGAGCAGCTCGAGCGCACAAAGGCCGCCCTCGCTCAGATGAAGGAGGCTGCAGAGCGTGCTGGTCAGCCGCTGCCTGACGCCGTCCTCGACGCAGACCAGGACCGCGCCACTCGCCGCAAGCCCCGCTCCGCGCGCGCCGTGCGCACGTCCTCGGCAAAGGCCCGCTCCTCCACCCCGCGCCGCCCGGCAGGCTCCGGCTACGCCATCTCTGGTGGCGCAGGCCCGCTCGTTAACGACCGCGACCTCTTTGCCCTGCCCGAGCTCGGCAACCCGCACGTTGGCAAGTCCTACGAGCAGGCCGGCCCCGCAGGCTTCTCCTCCGCCGCCTCGCTCCCAGCCCACGAGGACTCGATCGCCGGCCTCGCCATGCACCCCTCGCACCCGGTCGCCGCCGCTGTCTCGGACGACGGAAAGTGGTCGCTCTGGACACTCGAGACCAACGAGCTCATCATGTCCGGAGCAGGTCATGCCGCTTGGGTCGGCGCCTGTGCCTTCTCGCCCCGTGGCTCGCACCTCGCCACAGGCTCCGGCGATACCACCATCAAGCTCTGGGACGTCCTCCACTACCAGTGCACCTCCACCCTCGCCGACCACACCCAGGCCGTCTGGGGCGTCGACTTCCACTGCTCGGGTGACGCCCTCGTCTCGTGCTCGCTCGACGGCACCACCCGCCTCTGGGACCTCGCCCGCTCGCTCGCCGTCGCCACTCTCCGCGGCCACGTCAACTCGGTCAACTCGGTCAAGTTTGAGCCGTATGCCTCGGCCCTCGCCACTGGCTCGGCTGACCACACCGTCTCGCTCTGGGATCCGCGGACTCACCTCTGTACACACACCTTCTTTGGCCACGAGACCTCGGTCGCTCGCGTCGCCTACTCGCGCGACGGCACAAAGCTCGCATCAGCAGACTCGGACGGCATGGTCAAGGTCTGGGACACCCGTGCCCAGGCAGAGCTTCACTCTGTCCTCACATGCTCGCCAGACACCCCCTATGCCGCCAACGACCTCGTCTTTGACGCCTCGGGCAACACCCTCGCTATCGCCACGGAAGACGGCTTTGTCCGCATCTTTGACATGGCACAGGCCGCCCTCGTCGACGCTCTCCAGCACGACGACGCTGTCAACGCCGTCGCCTTTGACGCAGACAACAAGACCATGGTCTCTGCCGGCGCTGACGCCGCCCTCCACGTCTGGTCCTTCTAGAAACCTCCGCCTCCCTACTTTACTGTCTCGCCGCCGCCGCCGCGGACTCAATAAACGGCAGCACGGCCTCGACCGCAGACAGCGCCGTGCCCAGTGCCTCGTGGACTTCTCCAGCCCCGTCCGCCGCCGCAGGTAAGAGCCCCTCGTGCGCCTGCCCTAGCAGCTGCGCAAGCTGCCGCGCAACCTCCAGTGCGTGTTCTGGTGGCATCGGCCACCGCGCCTGCGGCGACGTGAGCGCTGCATCAAGGTACGCGCACACTTCCCCGGCCCAACCGCGCTGCCCACAATCCTCGCAAAGTGCGCCGCGCCCAGCTCGCCGCTCTCGCCAAACAGCACAAGCAGACTCCTCGTTGTTGCCGCAAGCAGCGCAGGCAGCATCGCAACCTGCGCTGCAGCGCCAGAAATGACCGCAACCGTCACGCACGCTGTCTGCGGCGCTGCCAGCCACTGGCCCACGAGCTGGATGTTCTTTCGCAGTTGCTTCACCTCGTCCGACTCGGAGCTGTCGAGCGCGGAGCCGAGGAAGAGGCCTAGCGAGACGTCTGGTACCACAAGGTTGATGTCCACTTTGGCCCCGAGGCCCGGCACCTTCGCCGCGACTTTCTCAAGCACCTGCACCAGCGGGCCAAACAAGTCCGCAGGCTGCATGCCCGGCACAATCTCGGCCGGATGGACCACAATCGCAGGACGCGGAAGATCCGGCACAAGCTCGTCTGCGGTCCGTCTGCTCCACGGCGCCAGCTCCGCCACCGCTGCCAGCGGCGGCGCAGCCACAAATCCCGTCCGCGTTGCCACGACCCCATACCCGCGTGCCGCGTGCCCGCCAAGCACGCGCTGCAGCAGCGACATGCCCGAGAGGCAGGAGAGGTGCATGACTGTCGTCTTCGGCCACGCTTGCAGCAGCACGGCAGACGTGTCAATCGGCGTCAACATCGCCTGAAGCGCCATCGTCCCGCCCATCGCCACACGTGTCTCCCCATCCCCGAGCGCAAGGAATGGGAGGATCCACACCTCGGGCACAGAGTGCGCGTCGTCAACCACAAGCGTGGAGGCAAAGCCGTTTGGCAGCTTGGCTGCCTCCACCAGCGCCCCGGCCTCCGGCGAAACCACCACAAGCTCCATGTACGCCAGCTGGTGAATCGCCCGCATGCAGTGCGTTGGCCCGCCGGCCTGATCATCCGGAAGCGGGGACGTGTACGGCGCCGCCCAGCGCGGCGCGCGGCTGGCATACGGCGGCCGAATCCAGTACAGCGACTCGTCCGGCACCTCGTGATCGTGAAGCATCTTGACTATCTGCTCTGCCGCCTCGTCCGACCGTGCCACAATCACCACACGCCCACCGCCGACCCCCACCCTCAGCGCCGACGCCATCGCCAGTGAGCCCGAGACCAGCCCGCGTGTCTTGCCTGTTCCGGGTAGGCCAGAGGAAGCGACATTGTCACCTTGCCACATACCTCGCACCACAGCCTCCTGCTCGCGCACGAGTCCCGTCGTCAACACTGCCGGCAGCTCGCCAGCGGGTGACTTTGTGCCACTTGCGAGCGGCGCAGGGAACACCATCCGCGGATCCAGCCGGTCAATCGCTGCATGCGCTGCAGCGTACGCCGCCACGTCGAGAAACCCAAACGGAATACGGTACTGGACCACTACCCGCGTCTGGGTCCTGTTCGCCTCATTCGAGGAGAGCTGGGCCCTCATCAGTGCTGGAAGCCCGAGCTCCAGCTCGCGCCCAGAGTGCAGCTCCGATGACGAAGGACAGAGACCAGTGCAGGGCTCGTCTGCCCGCCCATGTACAGCTCGACCTCGCCGCCGCTAACCGTCAGCGACGCTGCCCGCGCCATGTCCACAGGAGCCAGATCCTTCAGCACGTACGCCGTTCGTCCATCGACCTCGCGCACGCTCAGCAGCGCAGGCAGAGGCGCTCTGTTTCGTGCCGCAAACTCGTCAACAAGCAGAAGGTTGTGTCGCAGCACCACGTAGTTGTCGAGGTCAAACAGCTGTGCAGGTGCCTTGACAAGCTCCTTGTTCACCTCGAACAACGCCGCCAGCCATGTTGCAAACGTGTCGATCGCCTCGAGCGGCACCGTGTCCAGTGTGTGCACCGGCAGGTTGGCTTCGAGGCTCGCTGCATCGCCCAGCGCTGCAGGCAGCGCCGCGCGAAGCTTGTCGTGAACAGAGGTCTGGAGCGCAGAATGCGGCTCCGCTTCGAGTGCAGCCTTGGCCAGTGCGTGGAGATCCGGCAATGCCGCCTCGGGCAGCACGTATCTTGCCGGCGTCGCCACCAGTGCACTCCCGGAAAGCGTACTGGGTGCTGCTGCTGCTGCTGCCACTGCGGTGAGCACAGGAGCTGTTGTCCCCGCTGTCGTCCTTGCAGCTCCGGCTGTTGAAGATCGCGCCAAAGCCGAAGAGTCCTGGCTCCCAGACGTGCTTCCTCTTGCTGCCTCGCGCGCCTGCGAATACGGCAGACTCGCCCGCGCTGCCTCGTTGCGCGCGTGCGCCGGCGGGTACCGCAGAATGGTCTTGGTGTCGCGATGGGCAAGCGACGGCGGGAGCATTGGCTGCCACACATGCGGCTCAACCCTGTGCTGTTTGCACATGATTGTCCGATGATAGGCAATGTGGTACGGGTTCTTCTCGGTGTCGGTAACCGGTGGACGAGAGGTGCAGACGCCGCGCAGGGTAAAGCAGACCTCACAGATGAGGTCAGCGATCTCAACGTCTGACAACGGCGGCTCGCAACGGGCTGCAACCTCGGCAATGAGCGTGTCGAGCTCGGGCCGGTTGTAGTTCCACTCGTTACGCTCCTCCTTCGAGTGCGAAAAGGCGCACTTGGCGCTGTGCGAGCAGCGACCCGGCCCGCCCGGCTGAAACGACAAGCACATGGCAAATCGCTTCGGCGGCAGGCAGTCTCGGACTGGAGCCGGGCGAATTGGAATCCACGGGCCGTCGCGCGACGAGCCAGCAAGCAAGAGGCACGTCCACGGCTCCCCGCACGACGGGCAGCATGTCGTCCCTGCTCCGTACTTGTCGTAGTCCACAATCGCACAGTCTGGTAGCATGTAGCAGGTGAGGCAGGCAAATCGCCGGATGTGGCTTGCCGCCCAGTTCGGAAACACTGGCATGTCGCCGTGGGTGGCCAAGTGTAAGCCGAGACATGCCACGTTGCGCACGTCGCGCCGCGAGCACACCCGCGATGCAGGCATGTATCCGGCCCGTGTTGCCATGCTGCCTCGCTCTGCAAGCAGCGACGGCCGACCGATTTGGGGCTCCACCAAAATGCCCAATGCGCTGGCATGCGTGCGCAGCGCGTCCTCCACATTCTTGGGCTTGGTCGCAAGTGTTGCGAGCACCCTGCTGGCGTCGGCGCTTGATGTCAGCTCAATAGCAAGCGACGGAAGCTCTACCACTCCGCACGGCGTCGTCTTCAAAAGCTGGTGGATGCGGGCCGAGAGCCAGTCCATGTCTACCGAAGAGCTCGATGAGCTCGCTGCACTCGCTGCGCTTGTACACGCACTGTCAGCGTTGTCGGCCGGCGAGCCACCGTTCGCTCCCGATGGATCCAGCAGCTCCAGCGCACTCTGTCCGACACCAGCAGCCATGGTCCATATGTCCGACGGCTTGCTAAACAAAGTGCTCCCCTTGGGCCAGCTGCCAAGCACGCCCCAGATTCCCATCTCGCGGCGGGCGTGTGCGTAGAGACACTTTGTGCCAAACCGGCACTCGGGCGTGGTACACGCCTTGTACCCCGCGCCCGGTGAGAGGTACTTTCTTGGGATGACCCGCTTTGTGTCGATTGGATGGAAGCCGCGCTTGACGCGATTGTTGACCATCGGGTGGACGTAGACGAGATACGACTCGTCGCCAGCATGTGCGCACGCGCCGTTGATGGCCTGTTCGCCCAGCTCGCGCGAGCAGATAGTGCACACGTCTGCGTCCGAGCCCTCGACAGGCACACCGGTGAGAGCCTCGACGGCGTGGGCGTTGGCGAGGTGGAGGCACCGAGTCACCGCGCCGCAGTCGCCACAACGAACGATGAGAAGCAGCCGTGGATGGGAGACAAGCACATCAGCAGTACCGTAGCGATGCAAGTGGCAAGGCGCGAGGGTGACGCCTAGGGCCTTGCCCAGGTCAGAGGTGAGCAAGCGCTTGAGGGCAGAAAACGAGTTCGAGCTTGCCATGGCAGGCACCAGATCGGTGACAAACGGATACAGGTCATCCCAGGCCGCAGCGGCTGTAACAGCTGGCGTTCCAGAGCTATTTCCAGGGTTTGCCACAGCTTGCACCACTGACATCAGCTTGGCACGACCGTATCCATATTTGTCACGAAGAAAGTGAGCGAGTGCGTTGGCAAACCGGACGAGTGTCCCCGGAAACGACGTTCCGCCACCACTTCGGCTCACGCCACCACCATTGGTTCTCCGTCCGGTGCTCCCGCTGCCTAGCAAACCCCGCCGTCCTTGCCCCGACATGGCTTTAGAGAATGAAGAATGTTCGCTTTGTGAAGTCAAGTGATGACAATGCTCCGTGAGGTGGGGATGGGTGGCTGCCCGAGGAGGTGGTAGGTGCTGATCGCCGTCTGATGGAAGGAGTGGCGAGTGCAAACTACGACCTTTTCCTGAACCGCGGCGCCAGAGGAGGGGGGGGATCAGTGCAAGGGCGACGATGCCGGATATGTTGCGATTGAGGCGGGGGAAAGGAGCTGCGTAGTATGGTAGAGTATGGATGTTGGTTGAGTGGTGGTGGAGAGTGCAAACAGATTAGTGTGGGGTGCGTGGAAGGCGCATGTGTGAAGGGGGGTAGGAAGCTGGAAAAAATGGGGACAATGGGGATTGGTGTAGAAACACTACACACTGAGTATCACGCGCGATGCCGAGCTGCCTGGAAACACAGCAAAAGGGAGTCACGGTCTACTTGATCCGTTCGGTTACGCTCCGGAAGATAGGGAGGTTCTGGTGCTTCGGTCGAGGAAAGCAAGCAGTGGTGGCTTCTCTCTGTGCGTGACATCAATCGAGTGGTCTGCTAGAGATCGACGAGTGTCTTCAACGTCTCCAAGAGGTCACCTGAAGCCAGCTACCGAAGAGGCATAGATGGGTATAACTGCAACAATTGGAGATGAGGAGGGAGGAGGGATGGAAGATGTTGGGAGGGGGGAGGAGGAGGAGGTACTTGTCGAGCAATGGTGAGCAGTAGAGACTGATTGGTGAAGGAGAGAAAAACAAAGGGAATCCGCAAAATGAGCCAAAACACAATGAAGACGAGTTGGCCCGACAGACGACGGGTTGAGAGCAAGAGGGGGAGGGGAGGGGGAAGGGGGGGGGGGGGGGAGTGACCAAGTCGGTAACACTTGTGGCTGAGGAGGAGGAGGATTGTACATGAGTGGAGAGCAGCAGACGTTTGGCTGTCCGTCTGGAAGTGCTGAGGCAGGGCATGCGGCACAGTGCTCTGGCTGTCCGGGCGCTGGCGAGTGTGCGTCGGGCGGCGGAGTCGACCCGGATGCGGCCGCCATTAGCTTGCGAATGAAGGCGACGGGGAAGCGGATTCTGGTTCTTTCGGGAAAGGGAGGTGTGGGGAAGACAACTGTCGCTGCTCTGCTTGCGACGGGGCTGGCGGCGCGAGTGGCGGCAGCCAAGAAGCCGAGCTCGGCCCGAGCGGGATCATCATCAGCGGCGCAGACGGCGAGGCCCAAGCGAAAGGCGGCGCCCGCTGTAGGCCTCTGTGACGTCGATCTGTGTGGTCCGTCGTGTGGATTGGTCATGGGTGTCGGCGGCGAGTCTGTGGTGGCGACAGAGTATGGATGGCAGCCTGTAGTGGCCTCGCTCGGTGCGGGAGCAGACTCGGACTTTCCGGGCGTCAAGGTCATGTCGGCAGCGTTCTTGCTTGGCGGTGACGACAAGCCTGTGGTGTGGCGCGGTCCACGCAAGTCATCGCTCATCCGGCGCTTCCTCAAGGACACCTTCTGGGGCAGGCTGCAGTATCTGATCTTTGACACTCCACCGGGCACGTCGGACGAGCACCTCACCGTGGTCAAGTCGCTGGTCGACTCTGCTGCGCCCGAGGGTGCGGTCATTGTGACCACGCCGCAGGCTTCTGCGCTCAACACTGTCAAGCGCGAGATCCTTTTCTGCGCTGCCATGGATGTGCCTGTCCTCGGCGTTGTCGAGAACATGGCCGGCTTTGTCTGCCCCTGCTGCACCGACGTGACCGCCATCTTTGACCCTTACGTCTCAAGCCACCCGGCGGCGACGGGCCTCTCTGGCGGCGCTGCTCTTGCCGCCGAATTTGGCCTGCCCTTCCTTGGTGGCCTCCCGCTCGATCCGAGCCTGGCCACCCTAGCCGACGCCGGACAGCACCCGCTTCTTACCGGCGACGCCGAGAGTCCTCTGCGTGATGCCCTCAACGCCGTCCTTGATGCCCTTCTCGCTGTTCTCGACGGCACTTCGGAGGTCCCTGCCGCTGTCCCTGTCGCGCAGGCCTTGAGTGACCTGTAGCGTTGGCCTGCCTTGCCCCCCCCCCCCCCCCTCACGACCGCAATCATTGCAGCGGCTGTCGGCTGTGAACCATGCCACCCTGCGGCGTAGTAATCATAATCGACGATATAAACAGTGTCCCCCAGCTCATCAAGCCCCTTTTGCTCCTGCTTTGTGGCTTTGTTCGGGCGAGCGAGTGCGACGGGCGGGTGAGGGCGCAGGTGGACGGGTGAGCGGCCGGCCAAGCGGCCGGCCGGCACGTCACTCGACAGAGACGACGGCCATCAGCTTGGAGCAGCAGGCAGGTGACGCGGAGCAGAGAGTGACACGAGGCCGACCTAGTGTATGCTACAGGTGTTGGGACGGAGTGTGCAAGGCATAGGTTGTGCTCGAAGAGTGGCTGGCGTGACGAGAACGAGGACGCGGGCAACGACGGCGACCAAGGCGATGGCAGAGTCAGGAGCGCTGGGCTCGGCGACGGGCGGCTCGACGCTGGACAACAATGACGAGATCTTTGACATCTTTGATGAGAACAACAAGCTGATTGGCCAGGCTCGGCGGGAGGATGTGCACAAGCAGGGGCTCTTCCACCGCGCGGTCAACGTGGTTCTCATGGACAACGCGGGCCGCGTCCTGCTGCAGCAACGCTCGGTTGGAAAGGCCATCAATGGTGGGTGTTGGGACGTATCGGTTGGTGAGCATCTGTCGCCTGGGGAGACTTATCGTCAGGCTGCTGTCCGCGGCCTGGCGGAGGAGCTCGGTCTTGCTGGTGGCGATCCGGGAGACGCGCTCGTGTGCATCGAAGAGCCACGGCTGTGTGCGTACAGCTACCCAGAGGTCGGCAAAATCGACAACGAGTTCTGTGCCCTCTACCTCTGGCGCGGCTTTGATCCGGCCGTCCATCCTGTTGTCCCAGACGGCATCGAGGTCTGTGACGTGGCATGGCTCCCGCTCGACCACGCTGCTGGTCACCCCGATCTCCTTGCCCACACCGGCGGCAAGCACACCCCACGCTCAACGACTCGCTTCCACTTGTTGACCCCCTGCGTCCGTGGTCTGAGCCTAGCAGCATGGGCGCGCTAAGGACGCCGCCGAGATCGCCAGATTATTGATACTGCCACCCACACCCAGCCCCATGTCGACGAGCTTGGTTGATGGCCGCCCATTTCGATTGCGACGAGCTTGGTTGATGGCCGCCCATTCCGATGCCGACGAGCTTGGTTGATGGCCGCCCATTCCGATTGCGATGAGCAGGTCGCTTGGTCGGTGACGACGAGCAGGTCGCTTGGTCGGTGACGACGAGCTTGATTGATGGCCGCCCATTTCGATTGCGATGAGCATGGTCGCTTGGTCGGTGACGACGAGCTTGGTTGATGGCCGCCCATTTCGATTGCGATGAGCATGGTCGCTTGGTCGGTGACGACGAGCTTGATTGATGGCCGCCCAGCCTAAAGCCCAACATGCATGTGTAGTGGAAGGGGGGGGGGAGGGAAGGGGGGGGGGGGAGAGTGACCCGGCCAATGACACCATTTCATTGATTTTCGTCAAGCAAGGCAAAACGACGACACGCGTGTCTCCTCCCCTCCCCCTCTCCCCCCCCTTTAGCAGCGAACAGAGAGCAGCGCGGGGAGGGAGGAGGAGTGAGCGTATTCCACACACACACCCATACACACACCAACCTCTGCCTACTTGCTCACCATACGACCGTGTCTTTGTACCTGTGTGTGCCTGTGTGCGTCTTCCAAGACCCTACCCCTACCCCCACCTACCCACCCTCGCCTCCTCTGTCGTCTCGGTCTGGCAAACCTTCGCTACCGCCGACATACACGCGGGCTGACAAGGCTGACAAGTGCTTGCGGCTTGCTGGTCAAAGACAGGCAAACGCTTGCTCAATCAAGGTCACGTGCGTTGACAGGGACGTGGTGTGCTGGAGACGCTCATCTCCTTGTCGAATGGCCTCGTTCTTCACATGGACGTCGTCGGTGGCTCTTGGTTCAGCCGCATATCTCGGTCATGGTCATCAACATGATCATCGCCATGGTCATTATCATGATCACAATCACAATCACAATCACAATCACGATTGTCGCCATCATCATCATGGTCGTCGTGATGGTCGTCAAGGTCTTAGTTTGAGAGAAGACGCCCAACGGAACGAGCATCACTCGCATTGCCTTGTTCTGGGCAGCTGGGCGAGGGACCACGGATCATCCCCGTCTAGCTTGCCGAGCCTTCTCCCTTGCCTCCCGATCACATCCGTTGTCATGATCGGCAGCGGCCATGGCAACAAGCATAAGCGCCCACCGCCGCGCCCGCCGACGCTCCCCCCGCCCTCGCCTCCACCTCCCAACCCCCCGCCGCCGAGCTCACTGTCACCGAGCTCGCCACCCCCGCACCAGCCGCCCGCAAGAGCGCTCGTTTCGGCCGCTGCTGCAGAGGCTGCGCAGCGGTCTGGCGGTAAGATCTCGCGCCTTGCTGTGCGTTCGCTCTCACCGCAAGCACAGGTCCAGGCTGCGAGCCCGCCACCGACGCCACCTCCCGTCGACCGAGCTGCTGACGCCTGGGTTGCCTTTGACGCTACTCAGCCGGCCTGGTCGCCCGGTGTAGCCGCTGCCCGTAACGTCCTCGCACGCCAGCACCAGGTTGTTCGCTGGCTCCAGGCCGTGCTCAGTGTCAAGCTTCTAGCGCCCGACTCGCTTGCTGCCTCGCTTCGCGACGGCACGGTCTTGGTCGCCCTCGTCGAGGCTATCGCGCCCGGCTGGTATGCGCTGCTTGCCAAGCATGCCGCCGCTCGCGCCCGCCCGGTCGCCTACCTGCACCCAGCCACCGTCGCCCACCACCGCCACAACATCGCCTTGTTTCTTCTCTTCTGTCGCCACTACGGCCTGCGATCAGTGGCGTCAGCGCACTCTGCTGGTGGCTCGCGGAGCCCGCTGCGGCTGCGTAAGGCCGCCGCCCCGCGGTGCTCCAAGACTACGCTTCTCTATCCGCTCTTTGCCATTGACGACCTCTATGCTGAGGCGCACATTGTCCGCGTCGTCGACACCCTCCACGACCTCGCCTGCCTCTGCACCGCCCGCGGCTTCTCGCCCAAGGTCGTCCCGGTCGATCCGGAGCACCTCATCTTCCCTCAGCCGCGCCTTGACGCCATGGCTAGCTACTTACGTCGCATCGGTGCGCTCGATCAGGGTCCGGCCTCGTCTGCTCCACCCCACGTTGCCATCCCGCCCGGCATGGTGGCTGTGACCCGAACCCGCAAGTCCCGCCCGGCGCCACCCCTCTGCACCTCGGCCGCAAGCTTGTCCAGTGATTACGAGTACGCCTCGGACGCCTCGGTCTACTCGCTTGTGTCTGGATACTCGGAGCCGTACTCAGGAGACTCGGTCACCCTCAGCGGCGGCAACCCGGAGCCCACCGATGCCGACGCCGACGCCGAGTGCGAGGCCTTTGTCGAGGCCATGCTCGAAGAGAGCCCATCCGAGCATGTTGCTCGTGCTCCGCAAGCCTCTCGCCTCTCTCGCCTCCCATCGCTGCTGACTCGCTCCCGCCGCGGATCAGGTGCGTCGCGATCGTCTACCCAGTACCGCCGCCGGTCCTCGGCCCGCTCCCGTCGCTCCTCGGCAGCATCGGCTGCCTCGATCCGTGGCTTTTCACTCTCGCGCGCGCTCGCGGACATCCGCGAAGACGACGACAGCACAGATCTTGCTGCCTTTCTCGGCCGCAGTGACCACGAGCTCGACCTTGTAGTCCGCGCCACAGACTCGCTATTTCCGCCCGAAGTTCTCGACGAAGCCGAAGCCCTGCTGTGGGAAGCCTCATTTGAGGCCGGGAACCGCTCGCTGCCGCCACGTCGTCGAGTCCCGCCGACGACGACCGTCATCTCGCTCGAGTCTGCCAGCTCGGACTCGGACTCAGACTCCAGCTCGGACTCGGACTCGTCTGCCAGCTCAAGCTCGACCAACCAGTCGGTCGTCACCGCTGTGTCGCATGGCTCGCTGCCCGATAGCGACACGCTTGCGCTCTCGCCACTGTCAAGCCCGCCGCGGTCGCTGGCCCAGCAGTTGAGCCAGTACTCGCTGACCCGGACGTCGCGCTCGTCACTCGCCGGGGAACCGACCGCTGCGTCCGGCTCCGACTCTTGGGATGGCTCGGCGGCCGAGTCGGCGGCCGAGTCGGAAGACGAGTCCGAGACCTCGCCCGACTCGCCGCAGCTCTCCGCCGCAGTCATGGCCTCGCCAGCCGCGCTCCTCAACACGATTGCTTCGCGCAAAAACAGGCGCTCGTCGATCATGGCCCGCTCGGCCTCGCTCAACGTCTCGGCGCACGACATTGTCTCCGAGTCCAAGCGCAGACTCTCGGTTCTCATCATTCCAGACGCGCTACGCCAGCTCGATCCCAACGCGGGCAACCTTTCGCCGGGCTTTGTCCCGCCGCCACCGGCGCTCGGTCTCGGCTCGGGTGGCCCGCTCATTGGCTCGTCAGCACACGGCTCGCGCTCCTTTGCGGCACTCCCGTCACCCCACATGCATTCGCCGTCTGCTCGCATCTCTGTCGCAGATCGGCTAGCCATCTCAGCGTCGACAACTACGCTCGAAACGGTAACTCCGCAGCGGGTCGAGTCCGAGTCAAGCGGCGACAATGACGACGACGACCTGGGAATCATCGACGGCGCGGTCCAAGTCGGATCGACCTCGTCGTGGTTCGACGACGAGTCGGGGGCCAACTCGTCGGTCCTCGACTCGGCCTCGGACGATGCAGAGCAGAGACCAGTAGCCGCAACGCACCAGCGAGCCGAGCGGTTGCAGTTCGACCCGCCGCGGCTGAGCGTGGCACTCGAACCGGCGTTTTTCCGCGAGCAGCGGCTCGCCGCAAGCCGCGAAGTGACGACCATTGCCGTGCGGCAGGTCCGTACGATGGCAGTCCGGCTCTCGCGCGGCCTGCGCGACGCGACGCAGCCAACTGTGGGTTGGTCGTCATAACGCGCTTTGTTCATTGTGAGAGGGGCAGAGAGTTTCGCGCGACGATAAAGGACAGAATGGCTAGAGTGGAACCTCGCAGATGGGACAGTTGATGCCCTCGCCAACGGCAAGATGGGCAACGTGGCTCCAAATACAGGCAAAATGAAAGTGATGGTGACAGGCGCGGAGGACGGAAACAGGGTCCGACTGCTGGTAGCAGCGGAAGCACATCGAGCACTCGATCAGCGGAGCTCCATTGGTGCGGAGGTCCGAGCGGAACGGACGGGTGATATGCTTGTGCAGCATGTCGCGAGCAACGGCCCTCCCGTAGTTGACCACATTGGGGTCGGGGCTGTAGTGCGGGAACAAGGACGAAGCGCGGACGACTGTGTGCGGATGGAAGGTCTCGACGCGGTCGCCCGAGTCCGAGAGGGCGTCGGCTGACGAGGAAGAGAGGAAGACGGCTTGCGGGACGAGGACCGAGAGCTCCTGGTCGCCAGCTGTGGCAGTGGCAAGGTCATCCTCCAGCAACGTGGGGAGCGAGACCTCGCCCGACGGCGGAACGCCGTGCGGCAGGGCCTTGCCGACCGCGACCGGCGACGGGCCGTAGCCTGACTTGGAGTGGTCGAGCCGCGAGTGCGGAAGTACTGGCGACGATGTCGTAGATGGGATCCAGCTAACGTCGCCGGCGGCAAGGTCGATAACCGTAGTAACGTTGCCCGATGACTGCAGCGGCGACGTGTGCGGCGAGACCTGGTGTGACGGCGTGTCCCAGAGCATGGCGGCCCATACGGCGAGCCAAGAGACAAACCCGATCGAGGTGACAACAAAGGCGATCCACGCGACAACCAGGATGCCAACAACCGACGAGTTGGCCGACGAGAGGTGAACATGGGCAGTGACGAGTATTCCGACCGAGATCGAGAGCACCAGCATCCACAGCAGGGCATTGGCGACCATGATACCCAGCCGAATACGGACCGACATGGCGGGGAGAAAGGGGATAGCGACGCCTGCAGCGACAACCGCAAACGCTGCTGTGATGACAAGGATGTGGGAAAGAACGTGGATGGAGTGGGCCTCCGGCATGTCTGTGAGCGCGCCATGGATGGCGAGCATGGCGATGACAAGAAGCAAATGGCCGACCATGACGATGTGAGACGGGCGGGCGACGCCAACAAACTGCGGCCAGGCAACGAGAGGAGGAAGACAGCAGAGCCGCGAGACAAAGGTAGCCGAGGCTGAGGGTGGTGGACGCCGCGGGGTCGGCAGCGAGAGCCGCGACGACGGAAGTGGGGAGAGCTCGTCGGTCGGTCCATGCAGCGCGCGGCGCGGCGGAATGCGGGCCTGGGCGAGCGAGAATTCTTCGACAGGCGCATCGGGCAGATACGGCGAGAACGTTGAGCCTGACGAGCAGATGGCGGTGCCCGGGTGCGAGGTGATGTAGGCAACCCCAGCAGCGTCGTCATGCGAGAGCGAAGTTGCCGACGAGAGGTCCGAGTGAAGGTCGCCTATGCCACGCGCGATGTTGGCAGACGACAGGGCGGCGGCGCGGTAGGCGGTCGTTGGCAGGCGGTGGTTGACAATGCCGAGGCCTGACGATGGAACGTCCTCAGACGTCTGCATGTCTGACGACGACGGCGATTCAAACGAAGTCACAAACGACGCGACCTGCCGCGGCCGCAGCGACTCGGGGAACGAGCGCACCTGATTCTGGAGCGCCTGTTCGCGGCGAGCGCGCCGGACAGAGGTCGAGACCGGAATGGGCGCCGAGTACGGCGCGTACGCAAGCTTGACCAATGGCGGCGGTTCGGCCTCATCGCCGACCGAGGCCGACGTGGCGCCCGTCAGGTCCGAGTCCGACTTTGCGCGGGAGAGAGACGAGGTGCCCGTTCCGGTGGTAGGGCGCGACGAGGTTGGCCGCGACATGTCGTCCGCAGCCATACCAGCGGCGCTCGATGACTTGGCCAGTCGCGGGTGCGAGACGACGCTATCAAGCGGCTTGGCCTCGCTCACCGCCGGCATGTTCATCCGCCACGAGGTATTCCGCGAATGGAAGCCGGACGTGGTTCGTGAGTGGACGCCGGACGTGGTTCGCGAGTGCAGGCTAGACGTAGTCCGCGAGTGGACGTCAGACGTGGTCCGCGAGTGCGTGCCGGACGTGAATCCCGTTCCCGAGGGTACGAGTGGGCGGGAGGCCGACGATGGCGAAGTCGGCGCAGTGCTCGACGAGCGGGTCCTGGTCCCGGTTCCGGTCCCGGTTCCGGTCTCGGTCCCAGTCGCGGTCCTGGTTTCGGTTTCGATCGTCGTAGATGTAGCATAGTAAGAGGACGAGGTGGTGCGGAGCGCCGACGACGACGACGACGCCTTGCCGGTCACAGCCATAGTGATGAGCGGGTTCGAGTCGGATCGCAGTTTCAACGACTGGCGACTTGGGCCGCCCGAGCTGGGCGGTCTGCTTGTCGGCGGGCGCCCGGGCGAGGAGAACGACGAGGTACGATGACTGTGGCTTGGTGGGGAGCCGCATTCAGTCCTCGGTGGCGGAACGCTCCCGAGCGATGACACACGGCTTGGCGGACTCAACGGCAGAGTGTGGTAGCTGGTCGATGATCTGCGAGTCGATGACGTCCGTGGCGAAAGGATCCGAGGTGAGGTATGCCTCGGCGGGAGCGACGACGAGGTCCCGGTGGCCGACAACGACAGCGGCTCCTCGCCGTCTGACATGACGACGTGGTGGTGCGAGCGAGATAGCATTGCGCTGCTGCATTCGGCATCCACCAGACGAGCAGCACCAGCACCAGAAGCGGCAGGACGAGCAGCACGTTTGCGGCGAGCATGAGCACGAGAAGATTGATCCTCGCGATCAACAAGCTTGCAATCAACGAGAGATGACGACGATGCAAACGATGAGCTCTCTAGTGACGACCCACGATGATAGTGGCGAACACCATGATGCTGCTGATCATCAACTGGTTGGCCATATCCTTGGTCGTCTCGTTGACCATGTCGTGGGCCATCTTCATCAGCATGTGACACACACTCATTGCTTGTTGTGGTTGACATGCCCGAGCCAGGCCTTGTCTTCTCCCCTGACATATTGACGAAAGAAAGGGGGGAGACGAAGGGGGGGGGGGGGGGGGGTGGGCTCCACTCGAGGGATCCCGTCCTGCTCTCCAATAATTGGTTAGGAGGGGGACTGCGGACGGCGGGAAGGGAGGCAGGCACGGCCAGAGAGAGTCTCTACCGTCTACCAATCCGCCAATAGAGTGATAACAGCAATGGCAGGGGCTTGATAAGCCTCCAGCCTTTTGATGAACCAAGGTGCGTCGGGTGTTTTTCTCAAAAAACACCTTACGCGTGGTACCTGCAGGAGAGGGGGGGGGGAGGCCCACGGGCAGGCGCGCGCGTGCTTTGATTCTGACGCCAGCAGAGAATTTTTAGCTTGCAAAGTGCCCCGATCTGCTCACGGCCACGCGTGACAGCTGCAAGCCTTTGCAAATTGGAAGGTGTTTTTTTTTGAAGGACAGTATCACTCCACAAGGTTCTGCTGGTGGCGAACGGAGTGCGGGGCAAGGTGGTTGGCGAGGGGGGGGAGGAAGGATTGACGAACAGGTGACTGTTGAGGCGACCGCCACGCCGGCGCCATGACTCGGCGTAGAGGTTTGCGCGATACGGTGAGCAAAAAAAAAAAGACCCGCTTCCACACCCGCTCCCGTACCTCGGCGTCAAACTCGGTGAAGATCGACGCGATTCGGCGCCATTCTTGATCTTGTACAGCGGGTTGCACCCCTGGACGACCGAGTTACTCACGGCCTCCACTTGCGCGCCCGTCACCTGCTCGAGCGTGACGCGGCCTGCCGTTCCCGATTCTTCCGACACCGACGGCCGGCTCGAGCCCGCTGCCGAGTCAAACCCGCCACCCGCAGCCGGCTCGTCGGCAGACCTGCCGGCCACAACCTGCCGACCGACAGCCTGCCGGCCAAAGTGGTTGAGTACTTGCTGACCACTACTCGCCATCAACTCGCTGACTCGTTCGCCCCGCTCGATGTAGAGTAAGGGATGATGAAGAGATGGATCGGCATGGCTCGGGGGTGGGGTGTGCGCATGTCGCTTATGGCTAGAGGTGAGACAGTCGCCCGCAAAGACGTCGAAGTCCTCAACACTGCTGCTGCGCGCTATCACTTCCTCCTATGGTGGCGTGGGTTGAGCGCTGCACCCGCAGCCGGCATCGGCGCCATCGGGCTCGTCACCTCGGCAAACTACGTTGGCTTGCCATGTCCGATTCGTCAACGCTGCCCACTGGCAGCGGTAGCACAGCTAGTGGTCGGTCGGCAGGTTGTGGCCGACAGGTCGTCGGTCGGTTAGTGATCGGTCAGTTAGTGGTCGGTCGGCAGGTTGCAGCCGGCAGGTTGCAGCCGGCAGGTCGTCGGTCGGTTAGTGATCGGTCAGCTAGTGATCGGTCAGTTAGTGGTCGGCAGGTTGCGGCCGACAGGTCGTCGGTCGGTTAGTGATCGGTCAGTTAGTGGTCGGTCGGCAGGTTGCAGCCGACAGGTTGCGGCGCGTGGGTTGCCAACCCGCTCGTTCACCCGCCCGACGGCTCGCCCCGCCCTTCCACTCGCTCCGCCAGCCATGGCTCACTGGAAGCATTGAGGAGGGAGCAGACTCGACGCCAGCAGAGCAGGGATGGATGGAGTTGAAGCAGCCGGCGAGGAGTGGCGGGAGGAGCTTGCAGTCCGTGGAGTGCCTCGGGAGGTTGCTGGTGGTGTGGTGCGGTATGCCATCGCTCGGCGGCAGGCCAACTCGGAGGCCGCGAGTCAGCGGCGGGCAGAGGCTACCGCTGGCTGCTGCCACATCCATGGCATGGAAGACTCGGCTGCCTGGCGGAGATATGTCTGCTGCTACCTCTTTGGCTGCGCCATCCCGCTATCCCCGCCCGAGAAGCACTGCCATCTCGACTCGCTCTCTGACGACGAAATCAGCGCCTCGAGCGACGACACCACACGCTCCTCTGACGACGACGCCACTACGTACACTTGGATCGATAGCTTTGACTCAGACTCAGGCTCGGGATCAGGCTCAGGCTCAAGCTCAGGCTCACCATCGTCGCAGTCGCCGTCGCTGCGCGACCGCTCGTCGTGGTCGGCCGATGGAGGAGCGATGAGCAGCATCGAGGTCCTGATGGTGGACGATGCGGCGCTCGAGCTGAAGACAGTGGAACGGTGGATCAAGGCGGCAAGGCGGCCGCTTGTGCTTGGACGCGGGTTGTACTATCGGGCGCGGCTGATGCTGAGAAAGGCACGCAAGGTAGCTGCCTCGTGCTCGCGGCTCCGGGGCGCCTCCCTCAACGAGTGGTCCAGCCTCATGGGCGCAGCGCTTGGCGATGCAGAGTCGGCCAACACTCTCGGCTTTGTTCCTGCCGAGTTTGTTCGTGCTCGGGTCTATGCCGAACTCGGCATGGTGGCCGAGGCTCTCGTCGCCGCCCAGGTCCTGGAGCACTGGCTCCCCACAGCTTCGTACACGGCTCTCGACGAGGCCTCTTCGCTGGCCTACTCGTCATCGTCGGTGCTCGCCTCGGACTCGCCGCGCTCGGGCTCGGCGCCGCCTGTGATCGACACTCGTCCCAGAGGGGACAAGTCGGACGACGACACGCGGGTAGCGTCTGGGCTCGCCACTCTCGCTACCGACTCGCCGGTCGCCTTTATTCTTCGCGTCCACATCCGGTTCCTCCGCGCGGTGGTTTTCTTCCGCATGGGCGACGTCGCGGCGTCCATGACGGTCCTTGCCGCCCTTGCCCTCTTCATTCGATCGTGCTCGTTCTTCCTGCGCTCGCCGCAGCTAACGGCGTTTGCCAAGGCCTCGCTCCGCAACATCCACGCCACCCGCTCGTACCTCAAGCAGCACCGTCCGCTTCGTCCCAAGAAGCGGCACCTGTTTACCTCGCGCTCGCGCTCGCGCTCGAGCTCGTCAAGCTCGTCAAGCTCGTCCAGCTTGTCCTCAGACTGGAGCATTAACTGGAGCTAGAGGACTAGACCATTGCAGCAGCAGCAGCGGCGAGGGCGTCGCGGGTCGGCACCGTCAGGTCAGCACGGGCGGCAAGCAGAGCGGCAGCCGGCTGGGCGCCGTCGCGGCCGGCGCGCGCGACGAGGGCGCGGACGGCAGCCTGTGGCAGCGCGGGGTGACAGGCGTGCGCAAGGAAGAGCAAGCCCTGTGGCGCCATGTCGAGCTGCATGTACAGCGAGGCGGCGGCAGAGAGGGTCGAGGTCGGCAACGCCAACCGCGCCGCGAGGCAGAGCTGGGCGTACGACTCGAGGAGAACCCGCGGCGACGGCCCGTTGGGGTTGTCGGCAAACGCTAGCCGCTTGACCGCCCGCAGCATGAGCTGGGCAATGCGGACTGTCGGCCGGATACGCTGGCGAAGCATGGTGCCGACCGCTCCGGCAAACGGCGCGCCAACCTGGTCGCTCTCGAGCAGCAGCCGAAGCTGGCCCTCGACCCATTCGGGCCCGACCTCGCCATGGAGCTCTGCCGCCGTCGCAGTCGCCAGCACCGCGACCGGCGAGTCGGCCGGCGCCGCAGCCGCCAGCGCGCCGAGCGCAGCCTCGGGCAGACACTCGGATTCCGGCGCGGCGTGGAGGATGGCGTCGACCGTCGCCGCCACATCGGCGGCCTTGCTAGGCGCCGACGCCAGCTCGAGGGCGCACGCGTGGAGGAATGAGGCGTACACGCTCGCTGGAAGATGGGCAGCAAGTCCATCGTCACTCACGTGGCTCCACAGTGAGCACACGTGGCCGCGAACAAACGCCGAGGTCGGCGACTTGCGCAGTAGCGCCGCAGGCAGATGCCAAGACGGCTTGGCTGCAGGGTGCGCCCGCATCGCGTCGTAGACCTCCATGGCAGGCACAAGAGCGTTCGACCGCACCAGCGCGTGGAAGTAGTGCCGCAGCGCTGCCACCGAGAGTGTGTCCAGCGGCGCCGCGCTGCGGGCCTCTGTGTAAAACTGAGCCGCAAGATCGAGCGACTCGGCTCGGACCAGCGAAGTGAGGACCGAATAGAAGACAGCAGGCAGATGCGGCCGGGGTACAGAGAGCCCAAAGGCAAAGACACGGTCCGGCGAGCCACCAAGGCCAATGAGATACCCAGCACGGTCCATCAGCCTGGCGGCGTCAGGCGAGCACGTCAGCCCCGGGTGGTCGCGCGCCACAGCCACGACGGCGTCGACGACCTCGAGCTCCTGCGCCGGCGTCCGTCGCAGGATTGAGATGAGTGGTGGGAGCGAGGGCAGCGCCACATCTGGCGGCAGGACTAGCTGCGCGGTCTTCAGCAGCCACGCTGCAGTGTGCAGGTATGTCCCATGCCGCGCAAGGTCCGGCGCCACTTCGGCGTATGTCCGCACCAACGCGTGCAGGTGCGGCAGCAGCGCATCATGCGCATCGAGCGCAGCCGAAATGAGAGCATCCATAAAGCCCGCACCGGTGCCGGTTCCGGGCGTAGCTGCTGCTGCCGCTGCTGCTGCCGCCGCCGCCGCCGCTTCGATCTCCTTCTGGCCGCCTGCCAAAACAACATCGACGGCAGAGCCGTCAGCGGCAGAGCCGTCGGCGTCGGAATCGGGCGGGCGATGAGCGGCAGCGAGCTGTGGGAGGAGGACCGACTCAAAGTAGGCCGAGACGGCACGAGGCTTGCCCGGACCCGGGCGGGCAAGGAGGAACAGCTCGACGAGGTGCGGCAGATCCAGAGCGATCCACCTCCGCGCCAGAAGCGATGTCATGGTATGAACCTTGCCTGCCCTTCCCAGCACCGCCAGCAGCTTGCCAGCCACCACCGCCCGTGCCTTGGGCGCCACTATGCCGCCGGCCGCGTCGAGCTCAGCCAACGCATCCCGCACACGCCCTGCCCGCGCGAGCCGTGCCGTCGACACTGCCAGGCCCAGCGGAACGCGCTCTCCATGATGGGAGGAGGAAGAAGAGCAAGAGGCAGAGGTGGCACAAGTCGTCGCCGTCGCCGTCGTCCCCATCGTCACCGTCGCCGCTGTCGTCATCCCCGTCGTCGCCGTCGTCCCTGCCGTCGTTCCTGTCGTCCCTGAAGACCCTTCCATCGTCTCCGTCGTGCTCGTTGTCGTCCTTGTCATGCCCATCATCGTCCCAGCCATCCCTGTCGTCGTTCCTGTCGTACTCGTCGTAACCTTCGTCCGGCCCGGCCACACGCCCGCGGCGAGCACTCGTAGCCGCGGGCCGCCAGCTGCGGTTCGTCGGGCTACCCACATGCTGATGAAGGGGGGAGGGGGGGTAGGAGAGGGGGGGGGGGGGGGAGTGCTGAGTCGGGTGTGACCGGTGGAGTGTTACCCTCACCGTCGCTCCGTCGCCTCGTGCCCTCTTTGTCCTCGGTTGGCTCAGAGTGGTGGCCGACTTGAGTGACTTGCCGGGCGAGCGGGGATGATCCGCGACGAGTCAGGGGTTGGGGGGGGGGGGGGGGGAGGGGGGGCTGATGGCACAGGTCAGGATCACCGATCACCGATCATACAGATGATCAGAGGATGAAATGAGTGGGGGTTGGGGGGGGTTGGGGGAAGAGGAGAGGGGAGGAGGGGGCGAGAGGGGAGAGGGTGTACAATGATTGCGACTATGGCTGGCGATGGGCATGGAGGGGGGGTGGCAGTCTGCAATCAGTGAGAGATATCCTAAAGACAGTCTTTGGACTCTCTGCACCATAACAGAAGTTGCTACACGCTTGCGGCCACACCAGCCGCTGACTCGCTGCTGGATCACCCGCCGAGCAACGGCATGGCTTGCTTCGGTGCTCGCTGATGCCAAAGCTGTGCTCGATGAAGCTCTAGAAGCAGAGAACGCGACTTTTTCTGATCAGAGAAAAAGATCGTCCGCAAGGTCATCACCCACATGGGGGGAACGCAGGGGCCGGCATGTAATATATCAGTCCGCAACCCATAATGCGGTGGCTGCGAGAGTTGATGCTACGACAAGGTAGCTTGTGATGTTGTCCGGAATAGCTGATGGTGTATATGTACGGTTGTATGGTTGTGGTGTAGAGTCAAAAGATTGGGAGGACTTTGAGCCCTCGTACCATGTGCCTTGTCCTCCGATGGACGCACGAGAGCAGGAGCAAGACCAGTATGTAATGTACTATACATGCCTGCTAGGAATCAGAGTTCTTAACTTCTTGCGCGAGCCGTTGTCAAAGATCGCTCGAGGTAAGGCCGTGTCGGCTTGACCCGGCCGGCTTCGGCCAGCGGAACGAGTTTGTCTTTGAGAGCGAGCCGAGGACGGTCAAACTGGAGAGATGGACCTCAAACTCGAGGATCGGGGCACTTGCAGCTAATCAGACAGGACTCGCATATGAAGCGGGAGGCACCTGTTGTAGCTGCAGATTGTCGTGGCGCTGGAGCGTGTATGATGAGCATGGGAGGGGACCGAGAGTGGCGGCGAGGACAAGGGGCGAGCGAGATTGTCCACGCAGCGGCAATGGATGAAAGCGGGCGTGCGCGGCAGCCGGACACGACTGAGCGGCGCAGACTCATCGCAGCAGACTCATCGCGGCAAAGTTAGGAGAAGATGACGATGGCGAAGACGGGGGAGCTGTTTAGCAAGTTTGAGTGGTTTCCCGTGGCCGAGGCGGTCGGAGTGGCCGGCCTTGCGGCGGCGGTGGTGGTCGGCGGCGGAGGTGGACCGTTCGACGGCGAGGCCGCGGCGGTGGCGAGCAGGCTGGCGGCGACTGCTGTGGTGTTCTATCTTGTATCGTGCGCGTACTTTGCACACAAGGACTTGACCGATGTGTGGAAGGATCATCGGCTTTATCGGCCTGGCGAGGCGACGCATCGGACGGGTGCGGACTACGTGCGGTTCCTTGGGTACACGCTCCGCGACCTGGTGGTGGTCCTCCCTGTAGCGCTGTACGGCCTGATGGTGAGCGGATGGATCGACTATCCGGGGCTGATGCGGCCGATGAGCGAGGTCTCGTGGGGCTACGAGGTGGTGGTGTGCGTGGTGCAGTACTGCGTGCAAAAGGCGTACAATGCGGGCATCCACTACATGCTCCACGCGCCGCAGCTGTACAAGCACCTGCACAAGCGGCATCACACCATGCCGCGCGATCTGGTGGCGACGGCGGCGTGGAAGGAGACGCTGGTAGAGTATCTGCTGATGGAGCTGCTGGGAAACTTTGTCATCGGCCCCATGATCTTCCGTATGCACTGGCTCACGCTGGCGGCCTCGTTTGCCTACGTCGGCTTTGGCGCCGCCCTTGACCACGCCGGCTTTGGCCCGTTAACGCCATCATTGACTCGTCGCACCATCACTACCACCACCAGTTCAACATCGTCAACTACTCTGAGTTTGAGACCTTTGACATCCTGCTCGGCACAAAGTACGAGCCCAAGCCCAAGGTTGCTGCGGGCGCGCAGACCGAGGCTGTGCAGACCAGCGCTGTGCAGACCAGCGCTGTGCAGACGAGCGGTACCAAGACCCACACTGAGAGATGTCAGGTTGCCGGTTAAAGATGCAAAGACGATCGCCACACACAATATGCAGCGCCTGCAATTACTTACGGAAGTTCTTGACCCGAGCCCGCCGCTGGGCCTCACGATCGCGGAGCGATTGCCTGCCGCCGCCACCGCCGCCACCTCCAAAGATGGAGCTGACGCCGCTGCCGCCGCCGCCACCGCCACCACCAAAGCGATTGCCGCTTGCAGCGGCGCCACCGCCAAAGGCTGGCGTGTTGCCGGCGCCGCCGAAGCGGTTCCCGCTTGCGCCGCCACCGCCGCCACCGAACGCGGGCGTATTGCCGCCTGCGGCGAACGGATTGCCGCCTGCGGGCGCACCGCCGCCACCAAACGCCGGCTTTGCGCCGCCGCCAAACGCCGGCTGGGCACCGCCGCCACCAAACGCCGGCTTTACGCCGCCGCCAAACGCCGGCTGGGCACCGCCGCCGCCAAACGCCGGCTTGGATGCCCCGCCGCCTGCGGCAAACGGATTGCTGCCTGCGGGCGCACCACCGCCGCCAAACGTCGGCTGGGCACCGCCGCCGCCAAACGCTGGCTTTGCGCCGCCGCCGAACACCGGCTTGGATGCACCGCCGCCTGCGGCAAACGGATTGCCACCGGCCGGCGGGGCAGCACTGCTGCCACCGAACGCTGGCTTGGCTGCTCCGCCGCCGCCTGTGGCAAACGGATTGCCGGCGGCCGGCGGGGCAGCACCAGCGCCAAAGGTCGGCTTTGCACCGGCGCCAAAGGCCGGCTTTGCACCGGCAGCGCCGGTAAACTTGGGGTTGACACCGGCAAACGGGTTGGTCGACGTTGCGGGCTTGGATGCTGGCGCCGCTCCGGCGGCGCCGAACGGATTGCCCTTCGCGCCACCAGCAGGCGTCGAGGGAATCGCAAACGGGGAGGCCTTGGCGGCCTGGGCAGGCGCCGACTGAGACGGCTTGCTGCTGGCAGGAGCGGCTCCATCGGCCTTGCCAAAGGCAAACTTGTTGAGCCCGCCGCCGCTGGCCTTGGCTGCTGGCTTGGCATTGTCGGCTGTTGCGGGCGCTGCCGGCTTGCCGAACGAGAACTTGCCACCGCCAGCAGAGGCAGCAGGCTTTGCATCGTCGGCCGCTGCGGGAGCTGCCGGCTTGCCAAACGAGAACTTTGTGCCGCCGCCGCCGCCAGCGGCTGCAGGCTTTGCATCGTCGGCCTTGGTGGCGTCGGCCTTGGGCGCAGGAGTCTTGCTCGGCGCGCCGAACGAGAACTTGCCACCGCCAGCAGAGGCAGCAGGCTTTGCATCGTCGGCCGCTGCAGTTGCCGCCGGTTTGCCAAACGAGAACTTGGCGCCGCCGGCACTGGCCGAGGCAGCCGGCTTGGCATCGCCGGCCACTGCGGCGTCGGCCTTGGGCGCGGCAGTCTTGCTCGGCGCACCAAACGAGAAGCCCTTTGACGGGACCGAGCCGCCCTTGGCAGTCTGAGGCGGGGCTGCATCGCTTGCGGCGTTGGAGCCTGGGAGCTTGAACGAGACCTTGGCCTTGGCGGCTGCGCTGTCGCCGCTCGACTTGGGCTCGATCATGGTGCCAAGCGTCATAGACTTTGTCGAGTTGAAATCGGAGGTCATAGGATCCTTGAGGAGCGAGCGGCCCGCTTTTGGGTTCTCGGCCTCCTCGGCACGGGCCGCGGCTTGGCGGAGGACGTGCTGGATGGTCTCGTGAAGGTCGTCGTCGTCATCACCGAGAACCGAGTCTGCGCGAGGGACGTCGATGACCGAGCCGCGGCGGCCCTTGGCGAGCTCGCTCGGCGGGCCGCTGCCGCGGGTGGTGGAGAACTTGATGCGGTAGCGGATGCGGCCGGTCTTTTGCGGCGGAGAGAGGGCGTCGACCACGTTCGACGGCTGCGAAGGGAGCTTGTGAACGTGGCCCATGTCACGGGTGGTGGACGCAACGTCAACCACCAGGCCGCTCGGCTGGCGCTGGATGGCGGCTGGAGGAAAGGAGGAGACCTGGCTCGGGTGCGAGGTCGGATCGGCGGCGGTGGCGGCGTCACGACCGGGCGCAAACAAGGTGCTTGGCGGTGAGCGCAGGACGCCAATGGAGAGCGGGCCGAGCGACGAGCCGGACGACGAGTCGTGGGCCGAGATGGCCGAGTCGGCGCTGGCCGACGACGAGTGGCGCTTGTTACGCTTGCGGCGCTTGGAGCGCTTTGCCTTTGCCGAGCGCTTGGACTTGCGCTTGGACTTGCGCGAGCGCTTGGACTTGCGCGAGCGCTTGGAGGCGGGGCTGCTGTCGAGCGGCTTGGCACGCTTGGGTCTGTTGACCGGCGAGTTGAGGCGAGAGAGCGCCGGGGCCTGGGAGCGGGCCGAGGCGGCGGCGTCGGCGGTATCGTCGGCGTCAGTGATCGAGACCAAGCGGCGCTTACGGGTCTTAGACGGCGAGGCCTGCGGGAGGTCGCTCTTGGCCATAACCATGTCGTCGGGTGAGGTCTGGGCGAGGACGGCTGGAAGGGGCAGCGGGCGCGCGCGCTTAGCACGCTCGAGATGCTCGGCCACGATGCCGTCGTCGCGGTCGGCGTCGTCGCGGCGGCGGCGCTTGCCAAGAACAAGGCGGGTGATGTCCGAGTTGTCGTCGGGGACGGGGGCGGTGCGGCAAAGACCGGCGGGCGCCTGGCCTCGGGCACGATTTGTGTGGGGAGAGTGACAAAGTGGGCGGAGCCAAATGCTGACGAGGTGGCGACCGGCTGCCTTCGGGCGGCGTTGAGGCGCTCGTGCGAAGTGTTGAGGTCTACGCTTGTGTCGTCCAACTCGTCGTCGCCATCGGCGGCGGCGGCGAGCGAGGCGAGGCCGTAGCTGAGCGGCGAGGCGAGTGAGTGGCCGGCGGCGGCGGCGGCAAAGTGCGGTGCGAGGACTGAAGCCGCTGGCGAGGCGAGGTCGCCAGCAGGGCCGTCAGTGGCAGCACCAGCGGCATCCTCGCCGGCATCGTAGGGCGTGGCGGCCGGGAGGCGGCGTGCGATCGCGCCTCGATGGTCGTAGGGAGTGGCGGCGGATGCGCGCGGCAGCTCGTCCGGCAGCGAGAAGGCCATGCGCGGGCGCGAGATGCCGGCGTAGGCGGCGGCGGGCGCATGGGCGCCGGAGCGGGCGTCGTGTCCGCCGGGGTAGGCTGGGCCATGCTCGCCGGCAGCTGAGCGTAGAACGTGCGGGCGTGGGCCAGCGGCGGCTCTGCGCGAGCCAGCAGGCGCCCTGCGCGAGCGCAGCTGCGAGCGGGCGGCGGAGCGTGTGCGGGCGGCAGGCGGCGGGTTGCCAGCGGCCGGCAGCAGTGACG